TGTGTTGTTGTTTCAGCGTGCTTCTAAAATGTCCAAAATAGTTCGTGTTGCTCCGGCAGAAAACGATGGAAAAAATGTGGCTGGTGAACACTCGCAAACTAATTTGAATAGAACTGAAGTTTATGTAATGGGAGAAATTACCGGCAAAGAAAGCGGAAATTCACGGACTAGATTGAGTTTATACGATTGATTTTTCAGAAATGTGGAGAGTCCTATTGTAAGATTCAGTTGTCTTGTAAATAAATTGTAAATAAATCATCATAAGTGTTTTCTTTCAGGACTGTGAACTCAACTACAAAACATAAGTATAATTCAATTCCAATGCGGATAAAAAGCTTCTTTAATATAGTGTACAGACCATTGTTATCCCACTTTATGATAATCAAGGCTCAAGCAGGGTAGTGACAAAAAAATATTTAAGAATAAAGCTGAGAGAGTTTTTTGTTTAGATAAAAGATAATGATTAAAGCATTATTCGTAAGAGGAAATAAACGAGGAGATCATGCAAATCTGTTTGTCGAATAAAAAATAACAGAAATACTCAGTTTTGAAATGTCCTCCTTTGCAGCATTATATTGAAATCAGGAAACGTAGCCAATTTACGTTTGCAGTGGATTCCAAGACGCTAATTAAAAAAAGAAATGATTTGAGTCGGAAGAGAGTAAATATTTGAGCTAACTTTTTCTCGATTACTTGAAACCTCATCATTGAAAAATCAGTTTCCATACAGTTGAAGAATGTTTTTTTAAATATAGACCAAAGTTATATAAAAAAACACAATTTTTCTTGCCGACTTTGCATTCAACGGGTCGCGGATACCTTTGTAAAATTTTACAGAATTGTTTTTTTGTTTTTCCTTAGGACAAACAAAGCAGAAATTCAAAAACAAAAGTCTATCCATACATGTTAAAATATTAATAAAGTATCATTAAGAAAAACCAATTTAATCTGAACTCAATGAAGCTTCAGCCGCTGTAAATTTTTTCGTTTCTTTTCGCAAGACTGGTGATAAGTGCTCATTTGGGGCTAAAAAATCTACGTTCAATCGAATATTATCGAATCCCATTTAATTACTAACCATCAAATAAATTTATACCTGTGGCAAGCAAAGTACACTAATATTTTTCAGTTTACGTTGCGTGAGTAGGTTCCCACTCGTTAATATCAAAATTGACATTAGACGTTAAACATATCACATTGATTGCAATCCGCGACCAGAAGTGAAAGAACTGAGATAGTTCCAGAATATTTTAAAAGAACTTTGATCTCCATCCGGAATCCTTTCACCAGGCCCAACAAGTAGAAATTCCAGAAAAATTCCTAACTTTTTGTAAGACTCTGAAAAAATAATAATCATCGAACAAATGTACTACGGTTGAAAAGGTTTCCTTTGAATGGTCACACCATAGCTTCTACTGATCATCGTTAAAGGATTTAAAAGTGATAGTCCCTTGTGTGGTACAAAACATTCAAACTAAGTACCATCGAAAATGTAAAATTTTGCCGGACTCAAAGCAGTCGTAAAATAAATTTTTTAAGTGAAAATCATTTTAAAATTTGCTTAACTTGATGTTATGCACTATTTCTGATAGCCAAAGAAAATCTCAAATGTCTGCTATTTATGTATTTATGGCCTTCTCTAAACTCGTGAACCTCTAGTCTGGCACTGTTAGCTTTAAAATGTTACGATAAGTCTGGTTCTGAGATGATTATTTAGGTGCTCGACTAGAAGACCTCTGACAAAGGCTGAGGAATGGAGATCTAACAATTATGGAATTAGTCTTAATATAGAAAAAAAAAACACAACTGCTTGAGAAAATTTGTTTTAATATAATGTCGACCTTGGCTTCAAGTGGTCGACGATTCCTCAATGTTATGAACAGAGTATAGTCAGTATGTATTAACAGAGATAGGTTGGCTCCCATGAACTCACATAGTTAGGTGTTTTTCATGGGCAAAGAAATTTACTGGGTTGACTGGGTTTAGTAAAACGTACATTCACTGGAAGTGCAACTGAGCCATTAGCTAAAAGACCTAGTACTAAACAGGGGTGTGGTGTTCTTCTGAAAGTCTTACTGTGAGTTTCAGCAGTCGGTCATGTAACTAAACCTTAATTTCCGTAGGTGCTGCATTTCGCGTTTTTTTTTTTCCGCTTTTGTTGCCGGAACTTTTCGGGATAAAACTTGCGGCAGACCCAACACTCTGTCGGATATGTTTGTAATTTTTACAGAATTAATTTAATTTACGTTCTCTAAAACAAACAAAGCAGAAACTCAAAAACGAGAGTTCAGTACAGTTAGTGTCTATCCGTTGCTCAAGATTCATATTTTCGTCACAGTTCGTCTGATAATGATATTGCACTTAGTGTACTTTGTGAAGTAACTCTTCTGCTCGGTTAGAAGAGCTTATAGGCTATATTATTATCAGCACTTTGAGGAGATTAAGATTAATCCCATTTTTTAGTGTCATTTCCTAGCCATTATCTAAATTTCACCCTCTGGAAAGCAAGGTGCACTAGCCTGCGAGTTTTCACCCCCGCTGTGTATGTAGTTTTTTTTTTTTCACGCTTCCTATCAGAATTGACATCATAGTAATATCCCGTTGATTGCAAATCAGAAACAAATTGCCCCGGAACCCTTCTAGGAGGATTTTAAACATGCAGTCTTGTTTTGAATTATTCACTGATAGATGTTGCACTCATCATATCGCTGGCCAGCAACATTGCATACATTTTTTTCTGACTGAGGTACTCTGGTTTGCCATAAAACAAGTGAGACAATATAATGTTTAAAAAAAATTGAGGGGGTCTATAAAACTCGGATTAGAGGCGGCATTGCATTGATACGATCAAGACTGAAACAACAAGTAGACCGAGTGCACGAGAGAGAATTGTTGTTACGTAACTTATGACGAAAGGGCAACTTGTATGTTGAATCTAACAATCGCTCATGGGAGTCAAAATAGTAATAAAAAGCAGTACAAAAGTCTTTTATTTTCTGTGCATTCCTGGCATTTGAGACGGCCGTTTCAGAGCTACTCCGTTTCAGTTGTTCCATCTAAATATTTAGAACAACAGCAAAATTCAAACTTGCTGGAATTCAGTGCTCTTAAACGGCCTTAAAATACCAGGAAAACAGAACAAATAGAGCAGAGAAAATTTGGAGATAGACAAGGTCGGCTAAGAATTCCCCTATTCTTTTTAGTAACATTTTCTACCCGTAAATAGCAATCACCAGAATCCAGATACGAACCTTTATAATTTAACGCTCAATATAATTAAACCTTTCGGTTTAAAAGTCCCAAGTTACTGACTTACGCACAATCAAGAGAAAAAGCTATGGGAATTTTAGAATAAACTGATCACCAAAGGGAAAATGCTTTGATATTTATCAAATTCTCCAAACCAGTTCGGTAAGGAAATGTATAGAAATCAGTGGAAAGAAATTGTATGTTAATGATATCGGGGCTGATATATGGTTAATGTTACGTAACATCAACTCCTCTCACTCGTCAGCTCGCGGCCTTTGAAAAATACAGGGGAACTCCGCCTTATACGCCCTTTGGAAAGATGAAGCCGATAGCGCATTTAGAGATAATTCTCACCCAAATCTAATCAATGTGGAAAGCTATTAATTTTCTTTGATTTGCGACTTGCTTTGAGACTGCGTCGCTGTGGCTAACTCTCTTTTTCTACAGAACCTGACCTGCTTACTTTCAGTGCAGATTGAAATTGTTTAAGTTCCTACTTCGTCTTCATTTCGCCACATGCTATTTCAGTTTTTGCCCCAGATAAGGGAATCCCCAAAGAAACTGGCAGGAGAGAGAGGGAGACTGGAAGGAAAGCGCGAAACCCCCTCCCTTAACCATTTCTTCCCAATTCCCTTTCGACCCCTGCTACGCAGGCTACTTCCTACTCTCTCTGTATAGGTCATTGCTGGGAGTACCTCCCGGAAGCTAAAGGCCAGTAAACTTTCCGAGCTTTTTCTAGTTGACAACAAGAGGTCTGAGTACGAGATTAACAGTTCGGCGTCTGAATCAATTAGGAACGCCTGTTTCAATTTGGAACGGCTCACATGAGCCGTTCTTTTCGCCTAGCCCCGGCCGGGAATTTCGCCTTTGGAGCGAATTTGGAACAACTTTGATTCAGACGCCCGGACTTTTCATGTGCCGAATCTAATGCATAAATTATTATAACCTATTTTGTAAGCAGTTGGACCGAAATGAGCACGTATTTGTCACCTTTTGATCTTAGTTCAGCTGCAACTAAGATCGGCGTCTGAATCCATTCAGCCGGTCGAAATGATTTGGGTCGGCCTTAATTCGAATTAGGTTCGGCTCATGAAAAGTCGGCGTCTGAACCGAGCCTAAGTAATGTTTTTAAAAATTAATGGGACGTGGGAACCCCCTTTGATACGTCACCAAAATGCATTGACCTAGAAAGCCGAAGCTAGCCGAGGGAGATGCCGAACAGGGACTAGATAATGAAGACCCATATGCATGTATACAACCTGAATAAGAATAAGACTCGCAAAGCAGCCGAAGCAGTAATTAAGTCCTAATCTCCACAAGCAGGAACATCACGTAAAAGTTAAGAGTGTTTATTTTATTCAAACAACCGTACATGTCTCTAATTTTTCCCTGTCCCCTTAAAATCATTCGAAGATGAACCCCTAAGAAAGATAAAATACGCTAGATTAAATGGACTCGATCGCGATGTTTTTGCTTAAGTTTTCGGATTAAGCTAAGATGACTTTATCAATCTACAGAGTGCTCAACTGAAACTTCAATGCTTGTAAAAAAAGGTTTACAATATTCCTTCACCAAATTGTAATTACTCAAAATTGCAAAAATGCATGGGGATTAGTGATCATATGAAATTTGTGCGGCGGAAAATCATTTTTTTAAACAGTCCAGCTAATCAACGTTCGAGAACCAAAAAAGAAAAAAGTTTCAAGGTCCACAGGGCTGGAGAGTCTACTTTCCTGTGTTCAACCTTCGTTTTAACTTGAAGAGTCTCGACAACCTCCCAAACTTGCGCCTAACTTTTTCTCGGAAACTTGTCTTCTTTCAGGTTCTTCAACCTCTTCTTCTCCCATAACCCCTTCGGAACTGGAGGACTCGGAAGTTGGCTTAACTTCTTCGGGGATTTCTGGGTCCACCTCGGTGCCAGTGGTCGGGGTCGTTGTTTCGGATTCTTCCTCTTCCTCTTCCTCTTCAGTAGGCTCCAGTTCTAATTTCTCTTTGAGTTGGTTTACTTTTACCTTGAGCATTTGTTTAAAACCTCTGTTAAAAGACAAAAATTGTACAAAAAATGTTAATGTAAATTTCAAGCTTCAGCCGGCTATTTGCTGAAAGAAGCTAGCCAAGTTTAGAGGATGGACTGTGTCAAACGTGAAAAAAAATGTATTTTCAGTAGTTTAACTTTCTGTGGATTAAAAATTCGAACCTTTTGATTTGGAACTGATTAGTGAAGTTACGCAACAAGGCGGGAGGGAAAGACTAAACAGACGGCAAACCTAGTTTGACATCCGTGATATTAGTTATGTTTGAACAAATTTTCCGCCAAACTTCACCTTCACCTTTTGTTAAAGACCAGATCAAAGTTATGGTATAGGTGAAAAATACGACGACAAAGTACGCAAGTAATAGCCCTATCAAGTTTGTTGCTCACAAACGTTTCGCCGTCTTTTTCTTTCTGCCGCCCTCTTGCGTATGCTCACTATTAAATCCTCGAAATTTTTGACTACGGAAAGAACATGGGGACAACAAAAAGCAGTTTTATGAGGAAGCTTCGACGTACGAAACCATAGTTTAGTCAAATTTTGACTTGTGGGTAGATTTTTTCGTAAGAATTTGAAAGATGTACAGGTACACTTCAACCACGGGGCGAAACGCGCAAAAGCAAGTGCAAGGGGATAGGGGTAGGGGTGATGCCCCTCGCTTTCCGTACTGAACGCGAGGCCAGAAAAGAGAGGGGAAAAAGAGAGCAATTTGCGAGCCCCTCTGCCGTCTTTCCTCGTATCTATACTGTTGCTTACTTGCAAAGATCTTTTATTTTCGTGTTAAAGGATTTCAACTCCTCAAAGGGTCTGTCGGGCATCTGTTGTTCAAGTTGTTCCTCTAAGCTCGTGATAGTCTGTTTAACTTCTTCCAGACGCTCTCCGTAAAATTCTTTCACTTTCTGCCATCGCTGGAAAAAATTAAAAATGGCGCTCTTTGTCAGGAAAATTTCCTCGAATTAGCGCCGGAAGACAAAGGACGGCGCTCAAAAGAGGGCGCGCTTCCTAAGTTTTTGGTTTTTTGATTTGACAATGCACAGAAAAGAATCCTGCAAGCACGTGGGGGTAGGGGTAACTGAAGTTAATGAACATAGAAAAAACAATTATCAAATATCCTGGATGTTGGTGCAGTCAAGCAACATAAAAACCTGGAACAGATTAAGAAGCTCTCCTTGCGAACTATATGCTGCTTTCTATTTGGGGAATTGGGAGAAGGGATTGATCTCCCTCCCTCGCAGCCGTATTTGTCTTGTCACGCAACCCTCAAAAGACTAGGAAGGGACATGGTTCTGTGCTTACTGTAGAATTAGCAACTTCTGTATTGATAAATTTTGCTTTCCCCCTTCCAATATTTGCATACCTACCGCTTCCAATCTCTCCTCGGTATAGAGAGGAGAAGTCGTTACGTCACGTTGTCACGGTAGCAAAGTTTCTGGATGACAACAAGCCGCAGGAAAACATCACTCAAACTGCGAATTCCCTCTCTTTCATTTAATTTGTCAAATGATGGGGAAATTTTCTGGGGTGAAATCCGAAAGGACCGTATTTAAGTTTAGAAAAAGAAAAAGAAAATTTTTGCGTTGTGTTCGCCTTCTTCGTTAAGTGGGTGCGTGAAATTAGGAAGCTTCACATCGCAGTCGTGCAACGACGGCTAAGAAACGTACAAAACAAGCGTGATGCACGTGCAGAGTTGTTGTTTTGCTGATATAAACCTATTGCTTTTTTCCAGTTTTCTTTGCCGTCCCTACGTCGTTGCTTACGATCCCTATTGTTGTGAACCAGAAATTTTGCTACCATGGTAACGTGACGTCACACTTCTCTCTATGACAGTCGACCTAAGAAAAATTACAGACAATGCTTTTGCATCATTTTGGAGGGTTAAACAAGGTGTTTTATGGATGACGCGAAAGTGGCGAGTGCCCAAGTTAGGCCCAGGCGTCCGGTAGACTGCGAACAGCTTTTTTTTACAGGCAAGAGATGCGAGAAGGGTGGACTGCTGCGCGACGCTCTCATATTCTCTTGTGTTCCAAAAAGCGACCGAACCACTAGATTGCAAGCTAACGGATTTTTAAACGCAACTCAAAACTCCTAACCACTTGAATTGTTTTCGCTGATTTAAAGTTTGTTTTTTTTGGGGGGGGAGGGGGTAAGGAGGGCTTGCTGCCCTTTTGAACAGGGCATACATTTTCAACTGAACCTGTACTAAAAAGGGTCTAACTTTCCGAATAGAAACAACAAAGCGTGTATTTTGCCTACAGTACTAACCTCCATTGCAACCACGCGCAAGTTGTTCCTTTTCTCTTCAAACCTCTTCTTGAGTTCCTCTCCTCGTTCGCCAGCCTCATTTACAATTTTCTTCAGTTTATTCTTTCCTTCTTCCCACGAACCGCTTTTTTTCATCTCTCGTACCATTTCCTTGAACTTTTCTTTTGATTCCACGACCGCTTTGTTTTTCATGATCTCTCGTACCATTTTCTTGAACTTTTCTTTTGATTCCACGAACGCTTTGTTTCTCATGATCTCTTGCACCATTTCCGCGAATTTTTCTTGTGATTCCCCGAGCGTTTTGTTTGTCATCTCTCGTACCATTTCCACGAACTCTTCTACTGATTCCCCAAGCGTGTTGTTTTTCATCTCTTGCATCATTTCCAAGATCTTTTCTTTTGATTCCTCTAACGCTTTAGTAGGTTCTTCCATGGCTTCCTCGAGGGATTCTCGACTCTGCTTGATGGTTTCTCTCGCAGATTCTGTCTTTTCTTGAACGGTTTTCTTAACATTTTGTGCGTGCCTCTGTACTTCGTCTCTGATCGTTTCCACATGTTGGCCTGCCTCCTCAAAGACTCTATTTCCAGCCTTTTTTAAGCCTTCGAAGGATGGAAGCTCATCAAAGAATCCAAAGGCTGTTGGTGCAACATTAAAAAAAATGAAAACACTTCAGTACCAGGTCCACTACCCTGGGGTACTCCCTATAATGGCCTATACAGGGAGGCTGTGCCCGAAAGGAGCCGTACCTTTATTAAGATTTCACTAATTGGAGTAAATGGAAGGGGTGGGAAATCTGTCATTTCGGTTTGCAAGAGGCCTAACAGTGCTAAGAGATGCAGTATATGGTGGTGAAAAAGTCGAGAAAACGCTCACGTTTTGTGATTTATTCATATTGTGTAGTTCCCAAAATATCCATACCCCTCACGGAGAACACTTTTGCCTTAGACGCCCCACCTTTTTGGAATTTCCATTCCAGTGAGTACTTGTAAGACCCACCCCCCCCCTCCCCCAACCCCTGGAATTTCCATAATTTTTCAACTTGGGTAGGCACCCCTTGGAAAAGAGATTTGCGACTAAAATAGTGTTGCACTATACTATTATTATGCGAAAGTTAATCGTTTCTGCGACAAGGAGAGAAAAATCCTTTTATTCATGTATATACCGTTTCTAATCATCTCAATTTTGCTTTGTGCAGGTCTTTGTTAGTTAATGATTAACGGTACGTCAATGAGAACCATGGACGTGATACCTTACACGACACAAATGAGAACCATTTAAATTCAAACTTAACATCGAGTGGACTTTAATTTCTCCCTTTCACTTAAAAACATGTTAGAAGAAGGCTTAAAACACGATCACACTGCGGTGAATACCACAATATGTTGTGGTAGATAATAACCCGGACGTTTATTCATGAGCAGATGACAACTATTTATCGCGTAAGCCGTGAAAAAAGAAAAAAAATTCAGCCGACCGTAAATAAAGATCATCGATGAATACAATAATTTTTGTTTTAAAAGACCGTTAACAGCAAAATAACTGATAGCTTGCTCAACAGAGCAGCTGTTAGTTTTTGATAATTTATTAATCTTACTCGGAATTCCCGGAGAAAAGACCTCGAGAAACCACCCCCACCCCCATTGAATTTCCGTTTCTCTCCGTAGGCGGGGAATGGATATTTTCTGGATTTACACATTTGAACATTAACAGCAGTTAAAAGGAATGCAAAGTTGTAAAGTAGGTATGTGAAGAGAATACCATTTGTCAATTATGGGTAAAGGAAAGCGGTCCCTGTTGAAGTGCTCTGTCAAAAATGGTATATATTATAAGGGTAAGGGGTTGGATCTCAAGGCGGAGCCTTCCCGTATAAAACTTCGTTAATTACCTCCCCGGTTATGCTTTAGCTATCTTTAACCTCTTACCAAATAAGCTTAACCTGGCTGGTTTTCATTCAAGACAACACCGAACAAACGCGCCAAATGAGACACTAAAACGTTTAGAGCGAAATTTCCCTGTCTTTTATTGGAATAAAACTGAATACGAAAATATACAGGTAACACTGACTGCAATCTAATTTATTTTTCGCCGCCCAGCTAAGAGAACCACAAACATCCCCGACTTCAAAAGAAACGCAGTCAATGGTCGCCCCATACAAGGGAATCAAGGACAGTCTTTCATTTTAAGATATTGGATCCCGGATTCTTTGTCAGTGAATTCCACATGTCCAAACTTCCTAGATTCAGAGAATCCAGATTCCCTCACATGGGCTGAAAATCGTCACGCCGAGCAGGGAATGAAGCGCTGAGGAGGTACACAGGAAATGTAGGCAGTTTTTACCCCTAAAGTGCGACATGAGTATCCCTACCCCAGGAGCGATAATGTACCCGGCACAAAATATACATGCAAAACGCCGGTTAATCGGTTGGGTTTTCGAGGAGTCCGCTTCCTACATTCTTGACCTACGTATGTATACGGGTTGTTTTGCTGTTTAGAAAAAGCAAATCTCTTAGAGGTGGGTAACGGAATTCGATTTGACCGATTCGGACTTTGACCTTTAGATATGTGCTTGCGATCAATAAGTGTAAAACACTTCTAAAACATATCATTTTAGACGGTTCTAAATCAACGAGAAAGCTATGTAAATAAAGGAGGATGATGAATCTCCCCTTTAATAGGTTTGGAGATCAATTGTTTTGTTTGAAAAGCATTTTTAAGCTCTTAACCTTTTTTCAAGGTTTTATTATTGAATACGACATCGAAAAAAACAGCAATAACAGCGGGAAAGGATTCGAAAGAATCGGAAGTATTAAAAATGCCCTTTGTACCTTCATGTTCTTTTATTTAGTCTCTTTTCTTTACATACCAATCAACAGGAGCCAAAGATTAACATGCCTGACTTCCACCTTATCCATTTAAATGACATTATTTCAGGATTTCTTATGGACTGCATGCAGTTTAGTCTAGTCTTTTGTTTTTCTTCTCGATAACTATCCAATCTCGCAGTGAACCGGTGCTAAACGTTTTTAAAGACTTGTGGTATTCTCTGCTTTTCTCCACGAAAAAAGACGCAATCACCCGTCTAACCGAAAGTGCAGCGTAAAGGCAGTTCCCATAATTCTTTTCGCTTGTGGTAATATATTTAGCTGCGAGCTTTTGATATTGCGAAGTTTCCACTGGAAGCCGAGAACAAGTTATGATAACACAAAATGATACTTTAAAACAAGTACAATCATGGATTTAACTTTAAATTCCGGGATTAGCACTTATCAGACTTTCAGGACCATATCCCGGATGTCGAATGTAGGGCTAAAATACCCTTGAAAAGGCGTTAAGTGTTTATGTAATGAGATCTTTTTCAGCGAACATTTTTTTAACTAAGTATCGTTGCGGGAAGTATCTGGCAAGAATACTAAGAACAACGAAACAAAAATAAACAATTTCAGATATATGATTAGCATCAATTTTCGTTTTTGTTTCTGGCGGCAAAAAAAAATATGTAGTTCTAGTCACGAAACTGGATTAAAGTTTTCTTTTACGTCAAAGAGCATTTGATACTATTTTTACAGAGTAGTCATTTCCTGTGAACGTATTTACTTAACAAGTGAGAGTGCATTATTTTTCCCACCTGGATTTTCCAGAACTGCTCTTTCCCTTGGATTTACATATCCCCGCACTTCTACCCTCCATCCGCGTTGACAATCAGCGGGATGTCACGCGAAGGAAGTGTGACTGGGAAATTCAGCATGTTTTTTGGCTCAAGTTTAGTTCGGCTACAACTTTGAGGACGCGCCAAACTTAAGAAAGAAAGGGAAAATCCCCTGGGCAAGAAGCCTAAAAAGCCTCCTAAACGAAGATAGGCTTTGGGAAAAATTTTCTTTCGCCCTTTCACTTTAATAGGAGGAAGGAAAACAACAAGGGAAAATAACAACTACAAAAGAACAACTACTTCAACATTTTCATTCCCTAAGACATCAGAAATTCACACCCTCACTGAAACATGCACACAGCAGACTGCAGTCTTCTGCGCTTCCCGGCGTAATATTCTCGCGCGCAGCACGTTGGACTCACACCCGCGTATGCTCGTGTGGCGAGAGAAGCTCTTTCTCGTGTTAACCGTTACTCCAGAGATAGTTGACCGTTCGCGGGTGCCTTCTTAACCTAGGCAAAAATAGGGCTGTTTTGTCTAGACAAAAAGGATGTTTGTGTCTCGGGATTTGAGCCAAACAAAGAATTTAGACTTCGGACTTCGACCCGAGGACTCTAGGGGGTATTAGGTATTGAGAATTAATTCTCTTGCGTACTTTTTTTCTTTTGCCGGGATCAGATTTCAACTTGGCAAGGTTCTGCTTTTTCTCTTTTTTAAAACTTTCATTTTTAGTCAGTTTTGCTCATCGACTGTCACGAGGCAGAAAGCATAAAAACGGAAAACAAAACTAAACAAAAAACATAAGCAGTCTGTCGAGCTTAGTTTGATTTTATTCGCTTTTTTTCCCTGTGTTGCCTGTCAGAGGAGAGAGACGGTTATTGCCCTGAGGGCGAGGGAAGTACAGCGGCAAAATTAACTTAGAGTTCCGTCAGAAAAGAAAAATTCTTAGCAAACTGAAGAGCTTTTGAAAAAGGGTATATTGATACATATAATAAACCCGGCCATAGAGTAAAACGTGATCGTGAGTTGGCGGGGCGACCGGAGCAATTTCATCTGCGGAGAGGGATTTTGCGGGGGATTTTGTCATCAAGTACTGCTGGAATTTTCAGCGTAAGCAACCTTTTCCGCTTTCGTTTTGAGCCATGATTGTTAGGGATACAGAGCTGACTTCGATCGCGAGCTGATATTACTTACTTTTCTGGGCTTTCTGCAGGAATTGCCTCAAACAATATGCTCAGAAACTTTCGTGATGTAGTGGTGAATTTATTACGCATTTATCTTTTGTTAATTTAACTCGCAGGTCGTATTGCGTCAAAGGGCATTCACATATTTTACGTTCAAAAAACTGGCAGGATCATCAGTCCGTGAATTCTGATGAACCAAATTGCTGCTTTCATGCAAAGATGCAAGAGGAAAAGTGCTTTTCACTTTGCAAACTCCTCACAAATTTTAATAACTCAAGGAGGACAAGCATCGCGCGTGTTTCCTGTCGACATTAACTTGATCGACCCTGAGTTCTACTCTTTTTATCTTGGTTTAATCGTAGAAAAAAAAAACAACAACAAAGGAGTTAGATAAAAAATGATCTTTAGTACTTACCATGTGGAAGAGCCACACAAACAAGGAGAAAAGCTACCGCAAACTTCATCTTGAGTTCAGGCTCTACGATCCCTTCTCCAAAACTTGAGCAATGTAACTGGAGCTGTTCTGAATGAGGACTTTATACCGAAATTTGCAACATGAATAGCTGCTGAAAGACAGAAATATGACACAGGAAATGATATCATTGGATAGCGGACCGGATGCGCTCTGTCATGATCTCGTACCCAAGCCTCTCTGGTGCCGTTGATCCAATTTATGGGCTTAGTCATGAAGCGAGAAGGGGTAATGGCGGCGGACAGCATTGATTGGGACTGACTGCAGGCTGTGAGTTTTCCACAGAGAACCAAAGTCGCCTTGCAAGTGTTACCGGAATGCCGCTCATTAATGTTGACTCGAATCTAACTTGCGATCAGGCGTTCTTTTTTTTCGGGAGAGAAAAAATCGGAGAACGGCGAAGGGGCGGGGAATCGAAAAAAGGGATCGACGTCCTTGAGATTTAGTTTTTCACAATTGATAAGAGAATAGAACTCCCACCTCGAAAAATTTGTGAACAGCAACGTCAATTATTCCAGTTGAAATTATTCATGCATTTATTAAAATCTAACTTAGCCAATAATTTCCAATATGCCTTTTTGGCCATTATGCGACCAGTTTTTACGTAGAATGTACAATTTCTATCATGTTAACAATAGTTATTTAAACGTCTCCTGTCTCCTTGAAGTGTACTGACGTCATCCCTTGACTGTCATCGAAATCTGGTCCTCCCACAGGGAACCCAAACAAACTGTGTAACGCTCAAATGTTTGAATTTAAGGGAAATGTATGTAAAATATCGAAAAGGCTCACTTTACTGCGTTCAGCTGTTTTAGTGAAAACAAGGGTTTGGGTGGGGTGTTCAGTCTCGCGGGTTCATAAAACCTGGTCTAGGTAGCCCGCTTATTGAAAGATTTTCCTTGTTTGCTGCTTTGCTGTAACCACAGGTACCCCAAACTCGAAATATGACCTTTGACACTGTCGCGTCATCCTTCCAACTATAAGGATGCTGTGGGGGGAAAACGATTTTTTTCTGTAACCCACTAATTGATGAAATCCCTTTATAGGTTTGCATAAACATTCGTTTTTTCTCCATACAATCCTTTATATTTCGAACGGTTATGCAGCAGGGCCGGATGGTGATATTTGCCGCTTGGGCTACTTGTGTTGTAAAATCTATCCTCAAGGATCCTCAAGCACCATACGGTCGGTGGAACTGTGCCAAAAACATCCGTCCTTGTTATGTCCTCAAATCATCATTCTCTAGCCATAGCAGAGGTGGAGGTAGTGTATATAGACATGTACATATCGTATATCCAGTAAAGGGGGGAGTTATGGGGGGAATTATGGAGTTATGTTTTCGGCCTCAAGGCTTTGGGGTGGGGGGAGGGGGTGCTAATTCGAATTCCCATACAATCCTTTGTATTTCGAAGGTTATGCAGCAGGGCCGGTTGGTGATATTTGCCGCTTGGGCTACTTGTGTTGTAAAAATCAAGGATATCCTCAGTGGAAGGATCCTCAATGTCCTCAAATCATCACCATACGGTCAGTGGAACTGAAAAAATAAATTGGAAACCAACATCCGTCCTCGTTATGTCCTAAAAATCATCATTCTCTAGCCAAACGCAGAGGTGGAGGTGGAGCTTTGGTCCAAAAGACATGAAACATCTGAGTTTACTTTTTCTTTCACTCAAGAACTAGCCGTACGTGCGTATAAACATGTCTTATAAAATCCAGTGAAAAAAGAGGGGACAGCATTCCTATTTTGATGGGGGGGGAAGTTCAAATTGCTGTATTTTTATGTTTCGGGAATGGCCTCAAAGAGGCTTTTTGTTTATCTTCAACCCGTAAAACCTCGCTATTTTGGGATGACGGGAAAACCATCTATAGACATACATATCGTATATCCAGTAAAGCGGGGAGCATTGGAGTTATGTTAGCATTTGTTAGATAAAAATCTTATTACGACCATTTGTTAGATAAAAAATCTTATACGACCTTTTAGGAATTCTGAATTCATTTCATCGCGTAACAGCAATGCGAGCGCAGGCGACTCATAAATCTTTTAATAGCATCAGGCCAGGAGCGGTTCCTGATCTCATGCCTTGCGTTCGATCGAATTCCTGCTGCGAATTTATTTTATTTTTCTGACAAAGAGGGCCTCTTAGCGCGGCTGGATTTCCTACGGCTGTCCGTCCATCATGTTCATTACAGTATTTCTCTCTGTACGAATGTCTATATTTATGCCCACGCAGGACAGGCTTTTTTGCCCTTGTTTGTTAAAAAATTCTTATTGTGAACGGATGTGACTAGTCCGTTCAGAGTTCACATTCCTTCCTGATTAAGACTTTTCTTATTACAGAGATAGTCGAGTGTGCGAACAAAAACTAAAATCGTCGGGGATTAGTTTAACCGCCAGTATCGTACTTAGCCGTGGAGAGACTAGAGATACTACCTCTGATTTCCGATTTCCGTCTTCCACTTCTGATCTGATTTCTTACTTCCGACTTCCAATTTAGCGCAATAACCCACTTCGACTTTAAACTTTGGACTTCTGTTTTTGTTAATCAATATTAGTGAGCAGCAATAAGCAACATACCTCAGTCAGGGGCACCCAACGAGAATATAGTTCAAAACCACTTAAACACAGCATTGTTGAACGTATTTTAGTATTTAAACGGTAGATATAGGCATATTTTTATCCCCTAAAAATTTTTCATCTAGTGATCCGAAAATTATAGGGATCAAAACCTTTTCGCACATTTCAGCCAGAAAAAAGGCTCCCGAAAATTCTAGGTGACCTTTTTGGGGTAAAAATCCGTTGAAAATGGGCAATTATACCATTTTTTAGATATTCGAAAATCCTACGAGAGGCAGGCAAGGGATAAATTTTGGAACAAATGTTCCGAAAAATCTAGATCTGAAATCGTCTTCCGAACAGATATTTTCCAAAAATTGACGTTGGGTGCCCCTGCTCAGTAGCCAATTTTGCTGTATTACTCAGATTTCTCCGGCCAGTTTAATCTTACCACACAGACCTCACTAAAGAGTTCAACAAGAAACAGTGAAGGAACGGATTTTTTCCTAATTACTACGGCCAACCTCGTCTCCAGGGGGCTTTTCCCTGGCTTTGGAAGGTTGCCACAAAATATACGCGCAGGATATGATTCCCCTCGCAAAACTAGACAAAACACCTCTCACACCTTGCAAAAGACACTATATGTTTCGATCTCAAACCGCAGTAAACGAGAAAGATTTCCACAACAATGGATACCTCGCCCCATGTAAGGGAATCCAAGACAGTCTGGGATTCTTAATTTCTTCGCCGTGGACTACCTAGAATCTGGAATCGTTAAGTGGACCTCGGATTTTGGATTCCAATCGTTAGTGGGATTTCGGATTCCTTGAGCTGTATTCCGGATTCCAAAGCCCAGCATTCCCGATTCTACAAGCAAAAATTTTCCGGATTCCGTAATCTGGAATCCCATTACATGGGGCGAGATACCCCACAACTAGCCTGCACTGAGCGGATTTGTTTTTGATCGTGTGAGAGTTTTGGAGAAGCTAGCGTCGAAAGCGGTTAACGCGTCTGCTCCCAATTCTCCGCACGGCTCAGCAGCTCCTCTGCCAAACCTTTGCTTGCGCTAACGATCCCGCCGGCTACACAGGCTTTTCGACAATTCGTTTTTGTTTTTGACAGTATTACCCCAGCTCCTTGTATTGTGCGCTTTTTACATCTCGTAGTTCCTGACCAGCGACCTATCCTTTACCTGATCCTCCCATCCCCTGGGTATGGCTCGATGCCTTAGCGGCGAACTACATTCAATGCATCTGAATATGCCACAGTACACACCTGTGAACAGCAATCACTTTCACCATTCCATATCTCATTGCATGTTCGTGTTTGTTGCAGGTCGCTGAAGTTATTGTTTCGCGTCCTCCTTTTGCTACAAATCATGTGAGGAAAGGCTTTTCAGTGTGCACCAAAACGAACAGAAAAAGATTGGAAAGTGGGCCCAGTTTTCTCTCTCTATATAAACTTTATATATAGAGAGAGGAAACCGTTTACAGTACAACCCAAAAAACAGCTATAAATTGGTCCATGGACCACACAGGAGAGGTGTAACACACTTTATGTAAGGTAAGCTCTTTTTTATTGAAATCCTTTCATTTTCGTAGGTTACAGAAACGATAGCTTTTTTTCCCATACAAATCCTTATATTTCAAATGTTACGCAACATTGACGATACTCGCCGATGCTCATATTTCGAGCTTGGGCTACCTCAACCTCGTACCCAGGCCAGTTCGCGCCTGTACCACGTGATGCTTTTACAGGGAATGTGCCATTTGTTATTTCATAACCTATGCATACATATGCCCGTGGATGCACGTGTATAGGATGACATTTGAAAGAAAGATTTCTCCAGGGTACCATCACATGGTCTGAAATGGGAAAACAAAGCATACAAGATAGAAAGGTCTATTGTTTCTGCCCATTCTCCCTTCGGCTTCATCGCTCGCTTGCGCTCTCCTCCGTTCCCTTTTTTTTGTGAAACGATTGTTAACCATGTGGGCGCCAATCACTTCCGCGATTTTTTTTCTCTTGGATAGTGAAGAGAGCGATACGCGCGAGCGCGCGTGAAAGTCGCCACCCGCGTGGAGAATTTTCTTTCTTCCCTCCGGGCGCGCCATTCCTCACACCTATTTGGGGACAACTAATATACAACATCGAGTATTTCAAGTGTAGGCCAAACGAAGCCATTGTTTTATTTTATAATTTCCTCCTTCAATCACGCACACAATGTTATTCTATATACACAAAATTAAATTAATGACGCCGTTATAACTACACTAAATAATAACTCTCATCTATTTTACACAGGGAATTTAAATACCCCCAACTATACACAAACCAAAAATAAATATCTATTTTACGTTCTCTGCAAACATTTCTCTAATTTCTCTTCATAAACATTTATTCCACCACTATAAAACCTAGTGAACATATAAACTCAATTTTAAAACTTCTTAAAAATATGATCAATGTTTAACATGAGGCAAAAGTTTCAACAAACTTCTGTCCAAATTTTAAGCATTTAAAATGCAGCGGCACAAAGAACTAACAACTTTGATTGTCTGTGAATGGAAAACTCAAGCATATGGAAGTCCTGCAAAAGCATAAGGCCACAACCACATGAGTCCCTCAAAATTTGTGAACGATTGCAAATACATCCTTTCGTGTCTAGAAAGAATTTAGACATTTTTCACACCGCTGCCGCGAAACTCGGGGTCATATTTTATAAAACTTTTACAAAAGTAAGTGAAAAGTGTAGCCATTGTTTACAATAAGTGGCTAATTTACGTTACGGGCAACAAAATCGTGCAACTTGTTTCATAACATTGCTGGACAAACTAGTTGAAAGCTATGTAGCGCGTTTTACCATGTTCAGACCTGTAAGGGAACAAAGTTGCTTGAATACTGACTTCTGATTGGATAAAATTAGGCGGGAGTCACGCCATACACCGGAGTTACGTCACTTGCTGTGCAAAAGAAGTTTGACTTGGGCAGGTAAAACGCGCAACATGTACAGATTTTGTCGCAAAAAGTAAAACTACTCTCTACTTTCTACCACAACATTTTGCAAACTGCAAAAATCTGATATCTTGCAAAGCAGGTTTGAGCGCAGGCGGTAAAAGCGCTCAACATCGTTTTTCAACTTGTTTTGGAGCAGTGTTACAATTTTGTCGCCCGTTTTACCGTACATTTAATAAGACTTTTACACGTGTAAACTTGTAATAGATTTATTAAATTGGCCCTAACAATAGCTACACTTGAAAATCACACTTGTAAAATTTTTTATCAGTTGACAGTTGGACTCGAATGTGGTGATCAACCGGAATTTACGAAGGATTGTGGTCAATTGCCCAATTTTCTTTGACGTGACATGTCCTGGCTGCATCAGGCAGATAACTTCATGCAAGAACAGTAAATTTAACCACTACTGATTAAGTCATACCGGAATTGAATATCATGTATTAAGTGCTGCAGAAAAAATGAACCTTTTATGGGTATCTCTGAAAATTTTCCTAGCTTTTTTTTTTATCACACAGTTCGTCCATGCACGAATATAACTTTTTAGCTTGTATGTTTTGTTTGCTCATTTCAGTCCATTTGACGCAACCCCAGGGACCGGTTTCTTTCAACTTTTTTGGTGTCCTCGTGCATACGCATGCATAATTTATAATCAAGAGATATTTTATTTGCCATGAGAAATTACTCACGAGATCTTTTTCTTTCAAATGTCGTCCTATCCACGTGCATGCGTATACATAATTTATAATTTATTTACCATGGGATTGTACCCAGAGAACTGTGCTTGTTTTCTTTCAAATGTTTTCGGAACCACCTGCATACGCGTGCATAATTTAAGACAAGACAAAGGCAAAGTAAATTCCCTTGAGAACATCACGTGACCTGACTTGGGCAAATAAACCACACAAGCTGAAAAGGTCTATTAAAGCAACAGACTTTGAGTTGGTTATTTAACTAAATATTTGGAAAATGCCTCAGGGACTATAAACAGGCTCCCTAGTGAGGCAAAGACTGAAAAAGGTGAGAAAGTCTATGTATGTATTCCCGGGAGTGAAACCCCTACAAAATGATGGGGTGCCTGTGACACCTTTTGTCAACTGGTACAGTTTAGAGCTGGCTTAGCGCAGTTTGGCCACCTTTAAGAGTCTTCAAAAGTGTCGAGCCAAAAAATGATCGTGAAAACTATTCTGTCACTCAACTAGTTTTTGGGTACCTATTAAAATGAACTTGAGCCGCGCCCTGTTGTGATAAGCACCCTCAAGTCATCTTTGAAGGAGGAGAATGCCCCTGGGAAGTACCCCCTAACAACATGGACTTTCAAAATAGAAACTACAAAGTTTTTTATCATCCTACAGCAGAATGCCATTATGCAATTTTCTCAGAAGCATATTCACCAAAATTAATTGGTGTCAGAATTTCATTTCGGTTATTTCGTTTTCTTCTCCCAAAATGTGTAATATGTTAACTGAAACATATCATTTAAAAGTCTGACGATCAATCATCTTTTCTATTGTTTTTATTAGCAACGAAGGAGAGTGAAGGTGCATTTGAAACTTTGCAGGACTTCAAACTAGCACTCTTCTGCCAACTTTTTGGTGACTTCTTTCAGAGATACCCACAACACAAGGTTTTAATAACACAAAACAGTCTCAGTAATTTAGTATAGAACAGTAACAAACTTAAGTAATAATTATTACACAGCCTGATAACATCAGCTCTCTCCTCAACAGTGGCCTCTTTGCACCATCCAAAGTGTGGGGCAAAGGGAACAGAAGGCATGCTTGGAACATCTGCATGCTCCCTTTTTTACGATTACTAATAGAAGCCTCTAAGTAGGAGAGCGCCATTGTAGCTTACATCCCTATTTTAGCGATGTTTAGTAAACTTTCCTTTTTGGGTAAGAAAATTAAGGCTAGAAACATGCAAACTTCATAGCAGCCCTAGGTTATTAGTTCCCACTTGTTATCAGTTAGCGTACATTAAGGTATAAGAAGGGCGTTTTAATGAACTGACTACAAAATTTCTAGTGTTAAAACTTATTATCAAATGCAGTGGCAGGTCAAGACCTTTTTCCTTTTAAACGATGGAGAAGGCTGTAAGTTTACCTAGCAGCCTGCAAATTAAACTAGTAAAACAGACACAAAATGATTTTTGATTTTCCTTTATAACAGTTTAAAGACCCAGTTGAAGTTGACTGTTTTCATGTCAAAACCGATCAAATTATCAGTCAACTTTACATGCTAGTGACAAACCAGAACCGCCACCAAGAAAAATAAATGTAAAACCTGGTCTTAACAGCAGAGTGTGCACAACTCAAGGTGCAGCTCATGACTTAGAAGTAGAAAAATAAACACAAACAATGGAAAAGGAATGATCGACTCCCTGGGGTTGTGTTTATACTCAGGTAATGGTGTGCATATTATGTCAGACCTCTTCACTCCCAGAGTCGATAGAGAGCTTTGGCAATTTGATGATGGTGATGACAATGCTGATAATATTAGAACATCAAGTACAACAATATTGCTCATGTTTTGCCACTTGGATTGTAATCAGTGGCATTTCTGAGAGTGAGGGGGTCAGACATGTCTGCACTTTGAAGTTAACAAAAATTCACATGCAGTTATGCTTGCTGTGATTAAAAGAGTTTTGACAAGTTTACAGTGTATATTTAGTAATTATTGTAAGACAAGCAGTATGAAACTCTTTGCCACTATTGTCCTAAAATGTAAAATACTGTCATTTTCATACTTAAAATAAAATATGGCTCATAAACGTGCATGGTCACCATGCTGCTAACTTTCAAATTTTTCTAAAATATAAAAGCTAGCAACTATAACACAAATCCATATTCCTTAACTTAAGTAGTCTCTCTCTTCACATGCAGTTTATTGTCTCCTGGGACAAAATGGAATGTATCTGATACATTCCATAATAATAATAACTTACTTTTTTATTTCAATTCATAAAAATGCACACTACCACTCTACAAACTAATTAACCCCTTTTAAGTGACACCAGAAAATATACCATATCACAGGGAAAAGTCAAAGGAACTTTTAGGGGGTGGGGTATGAGGAGTCCCAACTACAATAGTATAATAATAGAGAGGGGTAGGATTGGGGAGGGGATGGTCATACTCATGAGCAGACATGTATCCTTGGTACATTTTACATTTTTCTTCGTTCACTAAATGTGTTTTCTGTGATAATCAAAAAATAAAATGGACCATGAATAAACTTGAACAATCGTAGACTATATTAATATTAGTGACACAATCTAAAGAATATTATATCCAGGTGAGAACAGTCATCATTAATTTAAGTCTGCTACAAGACTGAAACTCAACAGGAAGGTTATGTGGTGTAAGACATGGAGTGACTACTGATCTAATGCCAAATCCTCCCTTTGACTTACAAGCATGAACAAGGGCTCTTTGGAGGAGAGGACTTCTAACAGTTGATCAGAAATCACTTAGGGCTTCAATTTATGTTAAAGACATGCATTTCTCAGTGGTGGATCCAGGTTGGAGGAGGAGGAGGAGGAGGAGGCCGGGTACACCATGTCCAAATGTATCTGTCAGACCCCAATGATTTTAAAAGTACTTAAAGGGACTATGTCAACCTATTTCTATCTTTCTAAAAAGCCAAAACATTTTTTTCAGCAATTGAATTCCAAAAAAATAATGGTCCAGCTTTGTTATTTAGGGCGATATTTAGGCACTCAAACTGTTTCCAGTCGTCTGTTGCAACAGATGGCAAGGATGGACATGGATTGAAAGCTGGGCCAACTTTTAATGCAACTTTTTTAATGTGATGCTGCAAAATCACCAAATGTCATAACAGTTAAATCTCCCTGATGAAATTTGTCTGATACCTTCTTCTTTACTCTACAGGAACACTGTGTGACAGTGTATGGGTAAAGGCACTAAAACAGATTGACGTAAAACAGAAATCTCCTTGTGACACATGCATTCTCTTTGACTGACTGCTTGGAATCGAATATGAAAAAATTACCTCTGAAGAATCCCATACAACTTTCACCACACAGCTTAAAATAAACCTTGTGATGCACATTAGCTTGAGGTCAAAATTATCATAACACTTTGCACAAGAGGCAAATGTTTAAACCCTGGGTCCTTTATCAATGAAATGTCATTTAAGCTGTGCATGGTGTTACAGCAAGGGTTATGTACTATTGTGCAACAACACAGGCACATGGAAAGAATTAGCTTCCACAGAGTGACCACATTAGACCTCCCCCTTCAAACAAAATTCCTGGTACCACCCTTGTTCATGCTCATATATCAAATGTCGTTGATTACAAATGAAGCCACTTTCATGCCTAATGTATTGCACATACAAAATTAAGATCACACCTATAGTATGTCAAAAAGAATGTAATCTTAACAACGTTCAAAGCCTGATGCAATAGGTATGAACTTAATTTTGTACAAGCAATGCATAATTTGCTGTGGTTGTAGGTGCTTGGAAGTAGCTCCAAGAGTAATTAAAACACAGGGGCAAACTAATAATTATTATTAAAAAAAGGAACTTACTTGTAAACTGTAACTTCTGACATTAAAACTAAACAAACATATGGTCAACCTGGTGCTGTACACTGTATTAATCTTTCTGTAAAAAATTAATTCATTCCACAACATAATAATGTGTATAAAACATTTTTGTCACTAAAAAATTCCCAACATTTCAGTGATGAGTGTAAGCTGTTAAGCACCATAGTGCTGAGCTGGGCTGCAACTTTTGTTGTGAAAGGTTGGTTACTGCTGGCATGGAAGAATTGTCTAGATTTTGTTCAATAACAGTGTATTTGTTTCTTTACAGTACAGATACTCAAACTGGGACACTTGGAAGAACATCGTCCAATCACAACATTTTCTGAAAACAAAAGATTCTCAAGTTTTTTGCAAAGGGACCCATAAAATTCATAAATTTGAAGGCTGTTTCCTGAGAGGTCAAGTAAGTTCAAATGCTTTTAAAGTTTTCAATGGACACATAGTTGAACTGTGAATTTTATCGGTCTGTTTGCAAAAAACCTTGAAAATCTTTGGTTTCAGAAAAGGTTGTGATTGGACAATCTCCTTCCAAGTGTCCCATTTGAGTGTCTGCACTGTAATAATCAGGCATAATTTTGTACCAGAAATCAATAGACCAGTAGACCTTCAGTCATTGCTTTTATGTTTTGTGCTGGTGAAAACCATGACAATACTAAGGAGATTTGCTCTCTTTTCTTGTTGGAAATAAAGAGCATATGAAAGCAGGAATGTATGTAATTTTATCAGAGAATGCTCCCTTGAATATTGTCACATGATCTGCATTAAGTCAGCAAAACATAAGTGAATAAATTAATAATTCTAACACTCGATTTATTAACAGGAGTGCCTGCCTACGAGGAACATTGGTAACCCAAGCGTCAAATTCTCAGATAAAAATGCCCTGGTTATAAACTAAGCAATAATTTACACCATGGCCTGCCAGATATGTAAAAGTTGTTGTTAAGTGTTTTGTCTCAGTTGACTAGGTGGATCAACTGTCAAATCTATGGCAAATTGTTTTGGAATGATCCTTTAACCTCCAAAAAACAAAAATGTGCAGAGTATGTTAATTACCATGCACTTTCTTTGGTAACCAGAAAATAGGGTAACCTATCCTTGGAAACAGGCAGATGACCATGCTAGTTTCTTACAGGAATTCTCTCCACTGAAATCGCTTTATTTGTGTGCAAGGCACTACACTATAAAAACTTGGGTTAATTTTGTTAATTAAAATTATTTGTTTAGAGTCAACTAGGACATTCACTGTTACACGGTACCCTGTCACTTCAACTGGACACGTAGCTTTTAAAAAGCACAGAAATGTTTGTAACAGCTATTTTACTAAGAATCAATACAATTTGATTTTATTGCGAGTATGTCTAATAAACTAATCAACTGAGTAGTTAGGTGGCAAAGGAGTAACAGGGAGCTCTCGCAGTTGACATACCTGTATACTGCTGTTAGCGCCAAAGGGAGATGAGCTTTTGAAACCAAAACTTGGCTCCATTTTCAAGCCAGGATTAAAGCTTGGATGACTTGGTTGATATGGCATTGAGTGAGCAGCTGGCTTGGCTGTGAAAGTGGGCATAACTACAGCTTCTCGGGGTGTGGACCTTGGTTTTCTTGAAATGCTAGCTTTCCTGTCTGGCTTTGGATCGTGTGTTTTCTTATGCGACCGAAGCTGGCTGGCCTGAGTGAAGGTTTTGTCACAGTGGCTACACTTGTACGGCTTCTCACCTGTATGGAGACGTACATGTTGGTTTAATTGGCTGGCCTGTTTGAAGGAGCGGCTGCACTGAGAACAGTGATAGGGTTTCTCTCCTGTGTGAAGTCTCATGTGTTGCTTCAGCTGGCATGCTTGCTTGAAGCATTTGCGACAGACTTCACAAGGGAATGGTCGTTCATCAGTATGGGTGCGCAGATGCTGGTTTAAATGGCAAGGTTGTTTAAAGCCTTTGTTGCACTGTGGGCATTTGTATGGCCGATGCTCAGCATGATTAAGGAGATGTTTTTCCAGTTCTTCCTCTGTTTTGTATACCCTTTCACACATTCTACAATCAAAGGTACCACCTCTTGTGCCTGCAGCCACTGGAAATAACAAGCAGTTGTTAGAAATGACGTGATACCAAAGAGAAAAACTCCAATGCTGCTGCTAAAAATGAAAACATCAGAACAGCATGCCTTACTCACAGAGTAAACTTGCACAGTTATCATGATCATCATATATCTTGGTAAAGCTGGTAGTGGGGCATTTCTTCTTTTGATAGTAGGGTCTTAAAGATCCAACGATGTAACAGCAACGAGAATGTTGCTTAAAAAGTGAATTTGCATTCTTTCAGGGTTTATCACGATTATTCCTACTTCCTTACTTTGTCAAATGTATGCTAATAACCTGAATTTGAATTCCAAGAGAAAAATTTAATATTCAAGTTAAGAAAGAGAAACAAAATTTCGTTGTTGCTTGTTTACATTCTCCATAAAACACAAAATTGGACATTTTCACGTCGTGGTCGGGCAAAAATGGCAAAGAAATGTATAACAAAGTGCGACACACATGCAAAGTTTTTATTTTGCTTATTAAACCTATTGTTCTTTTAGACGTTGTCATTGCCATCACGTCATTGAATCTTAAAGTCCCTTGTGTTGTCAGCAGGTCCTGGTATCCTTATTCAATGAAATTCCGTTTTCCTCCTTTTTTTGTAATACAAAAAACGGCATCCAGCGATTGAAAATCAAAACAATTAGTTCAAATGCTTACCAACATTTTGCTTAGCTAATCAAAGCTTTTGTCAAACTGTTGCAACACTTTGAAAAGCCATTAACAATCCTTTAATCAGCTGTTAGGTTTTGTCCATTTAATGGACTTGTTAAAGCCACATTTCAAATTTTAACTTGAGTTTAGTTGTTAATGTGAGAACTTGATAAGTGAAGTCATTTTCGTGAAACAAAATATCTTTGACTCAACTAGTTACCACAAAATTCTGAAAATAAGCCCCTGGGCTTATATTTTTTCAAAGGCCCTTTTTAGGGGCTTATTTTTGGAGGGGCTTACATTCAGAGGGGCTTATCTATGGAAGGAAATTTGCATTTCAAAATCGATTCGGCTAGCCTTATAGTTGGAAGTAAATTTATCGTTTTTGCTTTGTTTTACTTTGTACCTGAGGGCAATTTTCCAAGTACAAGCCCTCAGGGGGCTTGTATTTGGAGGGTTTTTTTAACAGAGGGTTTTTTGCATTACTGGTTTGGGGGGCTTATATTTGGAGTGGCTTATACATAAAAGGCTTATTTTCAGAATTTTTAGGTATGGTAGTTTAAGTGTGGACTAGTGATAAAACTATCATCGCATGCATTATATTTTGTTCTTGGGTTCAAACCCTGGTATCACGGACAACTTGTTTCTCTTATTTTTCATTCCTCTCATTTTACTAGCATAACCCATTTTTTACAATAAAAGCAAGAATATGGTGCTAGCTAGGGAATGAACAATGCATAATGCACCAAAACATGATCACTTAACCCTTTGAGCCCCAATATCCACATACAAATTCTCTACACTGATCTCTTTATATTGTCTTAAAGAATGAGTTGAGAGAATTTGATAAAAGATCAAGCCATTTTCTCTTAGGTGATCATTTATTAATTCTCATAACCTAGTCTCTTGACAATGTGTGGATATCATTGGGAGAAAATTGATGTTGGTCACTATTGGGACTTAAAGGGTTAACTAATTATTTAAAATGAACTTGATACATTTTCACTATTAACATTTCTACTTGCCAGTTATTTATCAAACACAAAAGAAAATGTTGAACTAGTGTTGATAATATTAATTCCTTGAAAAGTTAAGGGTAAACTATGAAGGAAAAGTTCAGAACAATGTTTCTTTTATCACGGTAAAATAAATGCCACATGCCAAATATCAGTAATTGTTCAAACCCTCATAAAAATGACCAAACAATGATGAAACTTATACTTGCACTTAATAAAATTGCAGTTATAGAAAGCCTTGGGGAGCAAGGGTGGAGCAGTGGTGAGAGTACTCGCCTCGCACCATTGTTGTCGGGCTTCAAATTCTGGTGTCAACCATATGTGGGTTGAGTGTGTTGTTGATTCTTTCCTTTGCTCCGAGAGGTTTTTCACCAGGTACTCTGGTTCCCCACTCCTCCCTTACAAACCAAAATTTCCAAATTCCAATTTGATCAGGAATCAGATTGTGAAAGAACCACTAAGTGGATGTGCTACCTTTAAATCATCATTTATTTATTCCTTATTTACAGAGGTACCTTCAATTCTTGCTCTCTTTGGTAAAGGGCCATGATGCTGTTCCTTCTTATTATAGGAAGATGGAGAATTCTGCATAAATTCACGGCTTTTACTAGCAGCTGATGGAAAATTATGTGAGATACTGTGAAGATTGACTGGCCGATGTTCACAAGTGCAAGTTCCCAAGCTACATTCCATAAAATCCATCCTGTTAGGAAATATTAAAAAGTATCTTATTAAGAACACTTCTTCCGTAGGAAGTTGTGGTTGACATTTGCTTTTGGGAATTTGGATTTTTTTCGAATGAGTTTCAGCCGGAAGGTTATTTTGCATCTGATTTGGTTAAACATTTGTATCCTAAGTAACTATATAGCTACAATTTATAAGCCACTGTACACCAACTAACCAGAAATTAAAACCAAAACCCACTGCAACTTCTTGCAGGCATGACATCCACTGCATGTTTCTTTTACAATTTAATTGGTATATTGCATTTTTGCATACATGTATCTGAGACTTCTGATAAAATGCACCCCCTCACTTGTTTCATGTTTTTATCCCTCAAGACGAAAACTGTTGTTGCTCTGGCTCCCAAAATTCAGATTTATCTTGCAAAAATTGTCTGTGATAACTACAAAACATTGCTTTTTCGTAGTCCTTGCTTGGAAGTATTATGTAAAAAGAACGGGTCATGCAATGGAGACTCTCTCATGCACCCCGTTCTTTCCTGTGCCTATTACTACTTGGTACAGAAAAATCGCCTCACCAGCCATCAGAGTGGAAATCGGAAGCTGCACTCAACTGAAACTCTAAGCCTGCTTGTACATGTAACCGACCATATTTTCAGGGCCAAATCACAGCCATGGTACTGATTGACTTAAGCAAGGCCTTCGATAGTCTATGTAATTTGACCCTACTTAGCAAACTATACCACCTTGGCACCTCAAACAAAGCTTTACAGTGGTTCCATAGTTATCTCACGAATAGAGAACAATGCATCCGAGTGGGAACTTCTTTGTTGGAGCCCCTTATGGTAACTCATGGGGTGCCTCAAGGCTCGATCCTGGGCCCAATGCTTTTTAGCTTAAATATGAACGATCTTCCTAGAGTAACCAAATTTAGTAATATTGAATTGTACGTGGATGACACAAAAATATCTCTCTTAAGTTCTGCACAGGATATCCACTCATGTTTGGAACAGATTTCCTAGGATCCCGAACTTGCTGTGCAAATCATTTCCAACTTTTTATTTTGTGTCACATAAGTAGGGTTAGATACTTGTTCTAAACATAATCCTAAATTCTCTTACATTTAGTAAATTATTTTACTGTTCACCTGTATGGTTTGGTACATTCAAACAAAATATTAAGAAGTGACAAATGATGCAAAATTTTGCTGCGTGCATATTGACTGACACCACAAAGTACGATCATATTTCCCCAATACTGTACGAACTGGGCTGGCTTACTGTAAAAGAACTGTTGTGCTTGCGGGACACTACCATGATTTATAAATGTCTGAATGGTCTGGCACCTAGAGCTATTGATGTTCAAAGCTCACACAGCGCTAAAAAATGTACGAGTAAACACTAGAAATAGAGATCAACTTAGCCTTCTGAAATGTCGGAAGGCAATTGCTCAGTGCTCGTTTTTCTACAGGGCAGTAGCATCATGGAACAACTTAACTGGCCGGACAAGAAACTCTTCATCTATGTTTTAAGAAGATAGCTAGGGTTGAAATCAGTTGTGCTTAGTTTTGATAGTCTCAAGCACTTTGTTTTATACTATCTTTCTATAAAATTGTAAACACTATTACATCATTAGTTTTCTATACATTTTTATCTACTTTTCTTTTTTTCTTGCACATGTAAATTGATTCTGAAAAACCTTACTGGGAGAATTAATAATTGTATTGTATTGTATTGTATTGTAAGTCCTCTCTGACTCTTAAAATGTCTGATAACAAAAACTTTTTTCGAGCTTTCTAATTCTTGCACCTCTACTCTGCTGTACACGTAGCTTCTTCTATAGATTCCAAATTGAAGAAGTAAAGGAGGCTTAAGCAGACTGTGCGGTCATCCGATTTTGTTAATCACTGGTACGATTACAGAGGGAACTGGACTCCACTCAGTGCTATTACCATTATTTATTATTATTTAGACAGCAGAAAAATTCACTATACAAAGTTATTAACTGTCTGTGAAATGGTGTGAGGTAGAGAGAGGAGTAAGCAGTCTTTTATCCATCAAGGGCCATGCGGATAAAATTCCTTTATAAATGAATAACTTCTGATTCCTCTTACTTCCCCATTGAAGAAACCATTGGGCTTTTTTCATCAGCATTGTGAGGGTTAAGAAGTTTTTGTGCGTGATGATGTAAGAGTTTAGGAGCGCTAGGCCTCCTTAGAGATCCGTAAAAACGTGTTGTGTTCTTGTAGCCATCTTGATGATCTGTGAACCTTTAGTGAATTGAATCTATGGAATCCTGTGTAATCCTTGAGAAGTTGGACCCTTTGGAGTGTTGTAACCTTTAGGAATCGAGCCTGACAATCCTTGGAATAAAATACAGACAGCAAATGAAGTTCAAATTGGGAGTAATTCTTTGCCGCCTTCAGCTTCGACATTGAATTCCTTTTCATCTGTGCGGAGAAATACTCGAGTTAAATTGCCAAAGCTGGAGTTAAAGAAGTTCAACGGCGATAACAGTTAGTGGATTTCTTTCTGGGATAGTTTTGAAGCTTCAGTTCATAAAAATGAGAGTTTAACTGCCATTAGTGGCATCTGCCATCCACAGTTAGTGGATTTCTTTCTGGGATAGTTTTGAAGCCTCAGTTCATAAAAATGAGAGTTTAACTGCCATTGACAAGTTTAACTACTTAAACTCATTGCTTGAACGGTCAGCGGCAGAGGCCGTTTCTGGGTTAAGTCTTGGGGCATCGAACTATGAGGAAGCAATAGGCATTTTGAAAGCTAGATTTGGCAAGAAGCAGCAAATAATTAATCTTCACATGGAAATTTTGTTTAATCTTGAATCTGTTACATCTCACTATCATGTAACAAGCCTGCATCAGCTACATGACACTGTTGAATCTAATGTGAGAAGCTTAAAGTCATTAGGAGTTTCACGTGAATCGTACAGGGGTTTGCTATCATCCATATTGATGAACAAGCTGTCTCAGGAATTTCATCTTGTTATTACCAGAGAAATGGGAGATGATGACTGGCAATTAGATCAGCTGCTTGATGTTTTCAAAAGGGAACTTGAGGCAAGAGAAAGGGCTGGAGGGTCTTCGGTGAATAAAGGACAACCATCTCCACCAAAACCGAAACGAAGGGAAGATGGAACTACACATGCCTTGTTAACTAGTGGTGAAGCTAACTGTCCCACCTGCACCTACTGTAGGGTGAAAACACCCATCAAGGGATTGCTGCACAGTACCTGATGTACCAGCCCATAAGGAGCTTTTGAAGAAGTACGGGAGGTGTTCCGTTTGCCTGCGAAAAGATCACATTAGTCGTAACTGCTTAGCCAAGTTCAAGTGTCATAACTGCAAGGGCAGACACCATGTTAGTATTTGCCCACCCAACCAGAGTCCTTTGCAACCAACGAAACCTGAAACATCAGTTCCCACACCATGACCACAACAGCAATGCTTAATGGCTCAAACGGCCACCAATAGTGTCGTTTTCCATACTGATTCCACTACACCTGTGTTCCTTCAAACTGCCTACGCCGTGGTGTACAATCCTCAACAACCAGAGGTTAAGATCAGGGCTAGAATAATCCTGGACAGTGGAGGTCAGCGCACCTATCTTACACACAACCTGAAGAACATTCTTTAACTACCTACACTAGAGAAGAAGCAAGGCTCAATAAAAACTGTTGGAAGTACCGTTTAAAGATTAGAGTTGGTAGAAGTTGTGGCCCTAGTAGTAGAGCTAAAGGGAGAACCAGATCTTACACTGTCAGCTTTTACATTGCCTCTGATTTGCCAACCATTACAAGGTCAACCTGTGGAACTAACAGTGAAAAATAACCCCTGCCTTTCGGGACTCAAACTTGGTGACTTTTGTACCGAAAGAGAGACTCTTGGTGTTGACATTCTAGTTGGCTTGGATTATTATTGGAAGTTGGTGACTGGCCACACCATTAAAGGGGCCCAAGGTCCTACAGCTGTTCACACCAAACTGGGATGGGTACTTTCAGGACCCATTTGCTTAGGGAGTGTAGAAAATCAACAGTGAAGTAATCTTGTGACAACCCATGTCTTAACATGTGCTACTGATCAAGTGTCTTATGATGGTCTTCAAGGAGAGTTGAAGAAGTTCTGGGACTTAAAGTCTCTCGGTGTGAGGTCGCCAAGTGTCTTTGAAGAGTTTGTTGAGAAGTTGTTGTACAAGGGAGAAGATGATTTCTCTGATCATAGTCCAGTTTAAAATCCTGTTTTAAGAGCTGTTCAAGGACAAGAAAGACTGGGATGAACCATTGGAAGGTTCTTGCAAGTCAGTCTGGAAGAGATTGTTGACACAACTGCAAGCTGTTAAACCTCTTAATCTTCCGAGATGTTATTCTGCTGCCACGGAAGAGGAAGTTATTGTGAGTGAACTGCATGGGTTTTGTGATGCATCAGCTAAGGCATGTGTGGTGGTCTTTCTGCATATCGTAACGACATGTGCAGGTATGTGAGATTTGTCTTCAAAAACATGAGTAGCACCTCTCTCGGAGCAGACCATACCACGTTTAGAACTGTTATCAGCGGTAGTCCTGTCCAGACTGATCCATAGCATAAAGGAAGGACTTAGTTCTGAAATGAAGATTGACAAATTGTTTTGTCGGACAGATTCCAAGATAGCCTGGTATTGGATTGTTCAGAGCCAGAAAGAGTGGAAACCATTTGTTCAGCACCATGTTGACGAGATAAGAAAGCTTGTACCTGAAGATGCGGGAATCATTATCCAGGGGCTGACAACGCAGCCGACTTACTCTCTCGGGGCATGGACTGTCATGAGTTGGAGACCAGTGTGCTATGGTGGAATGGTCCCAAGTGGCTTACTAGTTTTGAAGGCCTGGAGAATCGAAAGGATATTGCGGAGGAGCCAGTCCCTGAAGCCTGCCTTGTAGAAATGAGGGTAAAGGATCGGAAGATAGTAACGACTGCTCTTGCAATGAACAGTGAACCTGCTATGCTGTGTAATATCATTCAATGTGAAGCCTTCAGTAATCTTGGACACCTCCTTGCAAGTTACAGCCTTAGTTCTGAAGTTTATTTAGCTATTAAAGGCACAGCGACAAGGAGATGTGAATCAGAAGCCAGAGATACATGTGAACGGTGCAGACATAGAAGAAACTGAACTTCTATGGATCAAGGAAGTACAACGAGAGATGAAGGGCAAGGAGAAGTTTAAGATGAGGTCGCACCAGCTGGGGTTGTTTGAGGATGATAAAGGAGTTATTCGATGTCAAGGTAGACTTGGGAACTGCGAGCTTACAGATTCTGCGAAGTATCCAATCTTGCTTGACGCTAGCCACCACTTAACTACACTTGTAGTCTGGAGATGTCACGAAAGAGTCATGCATGGTGGAGTTAAGGAAACACTCACCGAGTTGAGGTCGAACTTTTTGATTGTTCGAGGCCGATACTTTATCAGAAGTTTGTTGTTTAGATGCACAGTTTGTAAGAAGTTTGAAGGCAAACCGTATAAGGTTCCACAAGCTCCACCCCTGCCTAGCTATAGAGTGAAAGAGGCGCCTGCATTTTCGTACATTGGTTTCAATTATGTTGGACCCCCTTTTTGTGAAGTCTACCAGTGAGAAGGAACGTAAGGTCTGGATTTAATTGTTTACTTGTTGTTCTACGAGGGCGGTCCCCTTCGAGGTTGTGCCCAATATGACTTCAGAGGCATTTCTGAGGTGCTTTAGAAGATTTGTAGCTCGTCGTTCAAGACCTTCTTTAGTGTTATCAGACAAGGCAAAAAAACCTTCAAAAAGAGTGCCCCTAAGGAGCTTTAGAAGATTACAAATGATCCCAGTGTTCTTAAGTGCTTTGCCCAAGAGAAGATCAAATGGCCCTACAACTTAGAGAAGGTGCCATGGTGGGGAGGTTTTTATGAACGACTTCTCAATTCACTGAAGAAGATAATCGGCCGAGCAACACTTTCCTATGATGAACTTGTAACTGTTGTTACAGAAGCTGAAATTATCTTAAATTGCCGACCCATTTCATATGTCTCTTCTGAGGACCTAGAAGAATCCCTCACACCGTCCCACCTCATTGCTGGACTCAGCGCCCTTCCTGAAATAGACAGTCCTGCAGATGCAGATTTTAGAACTTCGCTGGATGACCTGAGCAGATGAGCAAAACACCTTGATATGATTCTGACTCATTTTTGGAAGCGTTGGAGAGCAGAATACCTTCTTGAATTACGAAATGCCCATAACCAGTTGAAGAAGACAACAGGATCAAGGGTAGTGTCTGTTGGAGATCTGGTATTGGTTCATGACGAAACCCACCCAAGATCCTACTGGAAGATGGGCAAGGTGGAACAGCTTCTGATGAGCAAGGATGGGCAGAGTAGAGGCGCTGAGGTCAGAGTCCAAGGGAGAGGATCAAGCGGAGGTGAACTCTTAAGGAGACCGCTACAATTGTTGTGTTGTACCCACTGGAAGTAAGCTGTTCTACAAATGAAGCAGCTTCTCAGGAGCAAGTACCTGAATCACCGGAACAGCCAACACAAGGTCGAGTGAGACGAAATCGAGAGCAGCGTAGAGCTGCAGTCGAGGGAGAGCGAAAAAGAAGACAGTGGATTGTTGAATTACAAGACGAACATTAAGTTTGTTATGTATTCGGAACATTAAACATTTTTTTTGAGAGAGAGACTATATTCACTGAGTTATCATTTTTTTTTTAATTCTTTCTGATATTTGATTCTAGGTATAGAAGGTGGACAACTCTTCATGGTCCATGGGGGGGGGGAGTGTGTGCGATGATGTAAGAGTTTAGGAGCGCTAGGAGAGAGAGATCCGTAAAACGTGTTGTTTTCTTGTAGCCATCTTGATGATCTTTGAACCTTTAGCGAATTGAATCTATGGAATCCTGAGTAATCCTTGAGAAGAAGGACCCTTTGGAGTGTTGTAACCTTTAGGAATCGAGCCTGACAATCCTTGGAATAAAATACAGTTCAAATTCGTCTACAGTTTTTATTTTTTCTCAGCACTCTTAGTTAAGGTTGCTGGAGCCTAGCAATAAGAGTAAAAAGGCTTTGTTTAAATCCCACTCGTGAAACTGAACGGAAAAATAAACATTCTAACCGTTACGACTTAAACTGAAAAAAAAATTAAGCACCAAAGTAATTTGCAATTCTATAATCACGCGTTCATTGTTGTGGCTCACTCTAAATTCGAGATTTCTTATTTTAAGGAAAAAATTTCAAACAAATTATGAAATAAGATGTTGTTCTCACAAACTCAAACCACCTGATTTAATTACAGGAAAATGAGTTCCTATCCTATGATTTGTTCTAAGTTTTTCTCGTAAAATAAGAAAACATTTTCTTAAATTGAGAGATTCGGCGCAATTTCGAATTCAGAGTGGTTCTTTCTTTGAATGTATATTTATGTTTACGTTCTATTTTGAAAAACAAAGTGACTAACGTATAAAAAATGGAATGTTCTCTTCACGAAACAATTATACTCAAGGTTTGTACGTTCTTGGAACAGTTTTTTTCGTGGATGTGAAAATTTCTCGTGGAGACCAACCGAGGGTTTAAAATTAGACTCAGACGCGCTTTCAGACATTATAACTTACTGGCTATTTCAAACGCAAAGTGGTTTTTTTTAGGGACGGAGACGGACAACGTTTTTTTTAGGTAGAAGAGCGCGCAAAAAAAAAACAAACGCAAATACTAGTTGAGAAAATTTGCCAAACAAAAACCAACCGTTCGGCAAGTATTACGACGAGCCAATTTGTACAGCCAGACAACATGTCTAGCATGCCGTCGCGCATTGGTAATGTATAAATTTCAGTCGGAAATCTAGAAAACTGCGTAACGCAATGGAAGAAAGATATGTGCAAAAAAACAAGGTAAAGTATCAACTATCGAAAGCACAAGCAAATCCACACTTACCTTCTACATTACTTGCTCAAAAAGTCAAAGGTTTGACAGCGTGATTATTTCTTCACAGACAATGCTCGGGTTTTGTCAGCTCTCTCCAGCTCCCAAAAAACGAATGCCAAGATGCCTGAGTAACCTCGCCAGCCTCAACAACACCTCCTTCGTGAATAGAAATATCGCCAGCAAACAGCCAATATTTTGTACGGCGGCTGCTACCATTAGCCACGAAAGCCAAGATGGCGGCCGATGGAGGTGTACAGACGGTGGAAGTTGAAGACGATTTTTTGGAGGAACGTCTCAGTAAACCAATATTTTACTCTCCTGAAGTCGAAGAAGCGATTTCTCAGGTAACGAGTGTTTAATTAATTTTTGTAAAATTATATTTTTTTGTGGAGAGTAGTCGACTCCAGTTAATAACACCTTACGGAAAATGAGCTTTACTTGGGAGAGCTTTGCCTGTTATCTGTTATTTTCAACAGGTTTTTAAAAGTGACGATCCTTTGGACAGCAAAGATTTTAATCCTGTGGACTATATCAATTCTATATTCCCAACTGAGCAGGTTTGTTTTGACTGAGTCAGTATTGATTATGTTAGAGGTGAACAATATAAAGATTACGTAAAGCAAATTATTTGGACCAGAGAGTCAGCTGCTGCGTTAGAAAGTTTTCTTTGGTGCCCCGCAAGTAAGTATTATAACGCCAGCTACCGTTTTGTTATTCGGTTGAGTTCCTTTTTAGCTTGCAATGTGTAGACTTTTGGGATTTATTTCTGTATTTCTGTGACTTATGGCCCAGTCAATTCCAAGAGTGCCCCTCCCCCCCGGGGGGGAATGTCTATCCCGGCGGTGGGGAATTTGTCAGAAAACCTCTGCCCAAAAGCGGGGCAGGGGGGGGGGGTATTTGTCAATTCTTGTAGAAGCGGTTAACATTGTTCCTTTTTCAATATTTCACTTAAAAATATGTCTTTGTAGATAGCTATAGATATTTGTATAAAGAATATGTTTTAGATATGCTTTTAAAAGATACGTGTGGTTTTTGCTCCATCACCACCCTTCCCCACGGCACTTTTGGCATCGAGTTTAGGAATTGCTTCCTGCCATCATCAGGGTTGTCAAAAGTAGCGAGCTGCTGGCGAAAATCGCAACCTACTTGGTTAGTTACTGCTGGCTACTCTGCTTGTCATTTCTTTATGGATGGCGTTTTTTAAAAATAAAATATCCCTAAACTGGCTGCTTACTTTGACAACTCAGCTGTCTACTTCAAAACTTTGTGACAACCTTGTATCGTGATCATTTGGCAGAAAACAATCAATTCATTGTTGGAAGAGTTTAAAGAAAAATACACTTTCTTTTTGAGCGAATGTTTGAGGCAGAAAGGCCTAGAAAAACTCTGCTAGATATTTGAAAGCTAATATAAACTTTGATTTTTGAGTGATCAATGCAACGGTTAATATGCTGTCTGAATGGTTACATCAGGATAAGAAAATACTCATGTTAAGCTCATTGGTTGTTTTAAATACTTTCGAAAATAAGAAAGGTATTGTTAAAAAAATTCTAGTTATAATTCTGGCGTTAATATTAATCAGATGGATTTGTTCTTTTATGCAGTAATTATAACAAATGACTAGGAGCCATTTGTGATGGGTGCTTCTCATGTTTTGATCAGATTATTACAGGTTTCCTATAAATATGGCATTTGCAGCTTATTTACTGAAAATACAATTTTGTTGTTGTCCTGGGGTGGGGCACTTGCGTGCGTACCTTTTTAAGCCCCACTGTGGGGTTTTTGTATGAACCGCCCAGCACTCCCTGAGACATTTGCAGCTTCCCCCCGCCAAAAAAAATGACAAATGCCTTACAAATGCCCAGGGGGTGTGGGAGGGGATGGGTATGCTTGGAATTGACTGAGCCATTACATTCTAAGTTGTCTTTGTGTGTTTACTTAGTTACTTGTTTACTTTCCTAGGTTATGACTGAGGAAGATCTTGTTTAAGTCATCAAAATATTAAAAATAACGGATTTGATGTCAGTAGTGCTACATGTATCAACAGTTGATTTATTTACAACCGTACTTTTAGTCCCTAGCTAATATTGATGAAGTTGTTAACAAGATGAGGCTTAGGATAAGGTGAGTGTTTGTCTTGTAACCAGTTTCCGTTCGCAGAACATGCAAAGCATGCCTTACTACATGTATTAATGAGTTTTAGCTCAAAGGCTAGTGGGGCTGAGCAAATGCTTGAAATAGAATTATCTAAACCAAACAGAATGGGGTGAAGGATCCCAAATGGTTATAGGCAAACCATTTGGCTATTTACAAGTGTGGTTGAGTATTTCACCTTGGGACTACCATGAACAAATTCAGCTAGTCACTAGCTTTCAGTGCGGTGCAGACTGGGACTCAGGGCCTCTGGATTGCAAGAAAAAAAATTCCCAGAGGAAAATGTCAAACATTGTGTCTTTTAACGTTAATTGTTTGTCGCATGATTGTCACATAGATATTGATCACGTCATTTTGACCGCGTACTTCTTCATTAGGAGATAGTGTTAATTTACCAGGTAGAACTATTAATTTTATACCACAATGGTTGTTAGTGACTGGTGTATCACGATCCTTGCTCATGGTTGGTGGGTTCCACTGAACAAACAGTTTCTTCCTCTAACAATGCCAACAGTGCTTTGGATCAAAACCCACCAACCAGTGACGATTGTGATACACCAGTCACTAACAACCATGGTGGTATAAATAGTTCTACTCAGTAAATCTACTCTATCGCTTGATGAAGACATGCAGTACGTAGTCGGAACGTTGTGATCAACATCTATGTAACAATCGTGACTCAGACAAACGAGTGATTAACAAAACCCTTTATACACATTATCCATGATGAACAATATCTTTAATGACAGTGTGTCTTTTGTCTATCAGAGTTAATTTGTTTAGTTTGGTATTTTTTATAAGGGGTCTTGATGAAGAAATCAGAACTGTTGTCAGGGGACAGACTAACATTGGTCATGAAGGAAGGCAGGTTTGTGTCACTGGATTAAATTTTGTTTCAGAACTTAAGTTTGGCACCACTCTAGTTTTTTGTTTTGAAAAATTGTACACCTGCCAACTTTTCTTATAAGTTTTTCAAATGCATGACATTTGGTCTTTGCACAACTGGTGTTACAGTGAATCTTTGCGGATTCTGGCTCCCAGCCTTTCCCTCCCCTTTTTGGGTTTGTGTGTCGGTAAGTATGGGGTCAGGTGAGTATTTTCCACTGAGTTTCCTTCAGTGTGACGGTCCCAGTTGGCGGCTGCATGCAGGGGTGGTTCCCACTCGTGGGGTTGCTATGGATACCTCCTTGCTATGCCTGAGTTGCTCAGGCTCCCGTCCAACCTTCAAGGCACCAGTTCCCAAGCTCATCTTGGAGATGAGTTTGATAATTATTAGCCAAATTTCTGAAAGTTCTGACAACGTATGATCATTATTGAAATCAAGTTTCCTTAAGGCTGATTTTCGATCAGTGGTTTCCAGTTGCTGTGGTGTGAAGCTTGAAGTCTGAAACAAAGCATTTATCTTGTTATTTGGGGCTCAATATTGCAACTTTTAGTGTTGTTTCACTAGTCAGACTATTTTGGGTGCAAAAATGGACCCATTCACTCCTGGCAATTTAGCCAAAAAAATGCATTTTGAAGTTAGTTAAGCTGCTTTCTGGTCACTGTCTGGCTATAAAGAGCAGCCTTCCAATCAACAGCATTATAAACTGTGGGCAATATTAACTCAATGAACAAAACAGCTGTGACACAACCCTTTTAATAATTATTATTCACTTAGTAAGTTATAGCTAAAGCATTCATTTTGTGCTGTAACGTTTTTTGGTTGGTTTTGTTGTCAGGCACTAGAGGAAGCCCAACAAGCAATTCAGCAATTGTTTGCAAAAATAATTGACATCAAAGCAAAGGCTGACAAATCTGAACAAATGGTAAGTAATTCATAAAGTCGCTTTTCAATAACACTCATTTTATTGCGTCCTTTTCTATCTGTAGCACTGGATCCATTCAATTTCCCCAGTCCCGTCTCATGACTGATAGAGGGCAGTTACTTCCCTTGCTATCTTTAATTATTATAGTGCTAAAATTGGATAATCACTAATTGTAGAATCAGGGGTTTCAATAACATTTATTTCAGGTGGGTAGTTGAGGTGAAACAATCCAGTAGATTAAAATAATTGGAAGGGCTGCGCCCATCCCAAGAAGTGGGATCCTTATCCTTGGACCAGGCTCGGCAGTGGGGGGAAAAGGGTGAGTGAACCAAGCTGAGCAGTAGTCTGGGGAAGGGGATGGGTGGTAGAGCCAGGAGACATGCCTTTGATGCCACTGATCTGCCCTCCAGCAATTAACCTGTTAAATAAATGTCAACACATCAAGTTCTTATTGCATCAGGGATGTTTCTTTGGTTTTATTGCTGCCCTGATTGCTGCAAAATGCAGCGTGAGTTAATATGACACTTTTGTCAAAAATGTTTGAATTCGCCTGGATGAAGTAACATACGCAAAATATAGATGTTTCAGAGGAAAATATGCTGTGTGCCACTGGTGAAGAACAACCAAATCAATCCACAAGGAGATTCCTCAACTTTGTGGCACAGCAAGAGTCTGATTGAAAGAGCATGGTATTTCATCTGTCAACAGCACTGCAAATTTGTCAACATTGAGACATCTGACCAATCATAGCATGATATCAGAACCTGGTGTCAATAGATGGAATGGTGGCAGTGTCAAGGCATTTCTCCAGGTTCCGCCGCCCTTTCCCCCTTCCCAGTTCAATGTGTGACCCACTTCACTCGCCGAGTTTTTTTGGCTCTTTCAACTGGTTTTTTACCTTTTTCCCTCACCGAAGAGCCTGGTCCCAGGCTAGGGGATCCTAAACCATCCTTCCCTATGGCTAGAAAGGTTTGAAATTCAACATTCAGAGAGGCATTTTCTGGCATCCCTGAAACACAATTATTGGAGGATTTCTTGCATTATTTAACAGTGTAATAGTTTCAGTGAATTTACTTGCAAATCAATTTCAGATCAGGAGTACATTTCATCTTCTTTATTATTAAAATTATTTTTTGAGATCGTGGGAATTCTTTTGGCTTCATCTTCAGGCAGGTACTTGCTTTGCCACAGGCAGGTAGGTCTACCCACTGCCTGGCTATTATTGGAACTACTGGTGGAATGGTTGTGTGAGACATCCAGGAGCTTATTGCTGTTGGCACTAAGGCATCGGATATCGGATAATTCTCTGTTTACTATGCAGAATTCTCTGGCTTACTGTCGGTAGCCTATGACTATTTTTTATTCAGATGCGGAGCATCTTTCAAAATGTTCTCCCATATTGTTATGCCTTTCTCCCGCTACTAGAATTCTTAATGAAGACTGTGATTATAATGCATGTTTCACATCAGGGCAAGTGCACATTTGCATGATGAGAGTGGATGCATAAGGTTCAATTGCGAGCACTAAGTTGTGCATGGTTGACTTGTGCACTGCCTCATTATGTATTTACAATCCACTGGCATGCCACCAACACCCTACCACTGTTGATACTTTCATGGTAATGAAACTGATAACTGGGTTATTGAAAACCTGTATTGTGTAGGCCCAGGAAATAACCATACATCTCCCATAGAATCGCTTTTTTCTAAAAACCCTATATAACCAAAGAAATTCCAATTAAGCTTCATGCATTTCTTTTAATTTTTTTGGTCTTTGAGCCCATTGCTCCCTAAGGAATTGCCAATCGCTTCTGTGGTAGAGCTTTTCTTGAACTTAACACATTTGGCTTATTTGTATTATTCTTCAGGTCAAAGAAATAACAAGGGATATAAAGCAGTTGGACAATGCCAAGAGGCATTTAACAAGCTCCATCACAACTCTAAATCACCTTCATATGCTTGTGGGTGGGGTGGATACGCTTATGTAAGTCATGTGCAACACACTGAAATTCTTCATAGGGAAAAACATGCTATAATCAGGCACCTTGTTAGCTTCCTATTATCTTGATGTATTTGTCAGTCATTCTTTTGACTGGTAACAGGAGCATACCTAGGGAAGGGTTAAAAGGGGTTCTGAACCCCACCCACCTTTTCTCTTTGTATGTTAAAGATAGGCGCAGATCTACTGACCAATTTCCTAAACAATGCCAAAGGCGCAACTTCTAGTAGGGTCCTGGGGGCTCCCCTAGGAAATTATTTGGATTTTTACTGCTCAAAGTCCCCTTTCCAGGGTTTCTGAGTAATTCAGACAGGATTTCAACTTGGAAAGTGTTTCTTATTATTAAAAATATATTTATTATGAAAAACTTGACCGATTTCCGTAAAGCGGTGGAAACCGGTGTGGATCCGTGCCTGAAAGACTTACAGGCAACTATATGTCTAGCAAGTGAGAATCTTCCCTTGCCCTAATTAACATTCCCCGTGATCACAATATCGACATGGATATTGTTGTTGACCAATTTGCTGGTAAACCTGCAGACACCATAATTATGCTCACTGACCTGCTGACAGAGTTAGATATGAGATCCTAATGGGTAAGAACATAGCTCTTTAAAATTACATTTGATTTGTTTTTAATCCTTTCATTCCTTGTGGTAGCCTGTGTCACAGCTAAATCTAACCCCAGCTAACAAAAGGTTTAGTTTTGTTTTTGGGGCAGACTATCGTTAATTTTGGCTAGCCTGCATCGCGGACAAAGTCTAACTCCGGTTAGTAACTTCTGTGAAGCAGCAATGATATCCATGTTCTGGGCTCCCAACAGACTCAATGAATAACTGGAAATGTGTTTTGAAATTTCCTTTAACCTGATTGGCAAATTGATAATAACACTGATGGGCCAATCGTGATGCATAATTAAAATCCTGGTACACAGGTTGGGGCCCAGAACGAGGATTTCAGTGCTTTTTTGCAGACAGACTTAACCAGAGGTTTAGTTCTGTCTGTGGTGCAAGCTAAATAATGGTCAGAGTAAAAAGCTCCAAAGAAATTTTCAATTTTTTGTGTAAAATTGTAAAGGTCATCTTTTGGCAGGAGAATATTTCATTGAGCTTACTCTAAACCAACTCTTTTTCTTATCATAGGAATTTAACAAGAAAGAGACATTATGGTGAGGTTGCTAACCTCTTACAAGGAGTTGTTAATGTTCTGGAACACTTCAAGAAGTACTTTGGAATAACTCAGATTCGGCAGCTAGCTGATAAGTAGGTGTTTCTAATCTGACAAAGGATGCAGTTTTTTCAGTTTGTTACATGATGCAGGGCTTGAAAAAAAGTAATAACAACAACTTGAATTCCATCTTTTCCTTCTTAGTAGCTTTAACTTTTTTCTTGACCCTTCAGGCAAATCAAAGTTACTTACCTAGTAAAAAAGTCCTCCTGTTTTGGGCGACAGCGTCACACTCTTTTCAAGCTTCTAAATGATGTCTGGAATCTTTGTCAAACATAAACGTTTGCAACAACTTCCCAATATCCCTAGCCTGTTCCAGGCTCTCAGATAATGTGGAAGACGCGAAAGTGAAAGGCACGCGAAAATATTTTCGTGTTCACACTTTCTCAATTTCGCGGACCCGACTTTCTCAAGGCCTAGAACAAGCTACAATATCCCTTACATTGTAAACAGACACTGAAACCCCTTTTTTTAATGGAGAGTATTAAAGTGTATAAAGTGGTATGTGTGGGATCCAGTAAAGGGTTGTTAGTGAAATACAGGGATGTAAGAATTTTTTTTTGAGGTCAGGAAAGTCAAGAAATTTCAAAAGTCTGGGAAAGTTCTTGACAAAGTCAGTGGAAAATCAGGGATCGAATCATATATTCAGGCTGAAACAAGGATAGTGAAGAATACAAAAAGACATTTTTATTGGGAAAAACAATTCCGTACTTTACCAATTTGTTTCCTCTAAACTCTGTAAAAATGTGCATGTTGTGAAAAATTTAAATGTAATAATTTTTTATGACTTCATGCTGGGCTCGAAAAGAAGTTGAAGAAAATGTGAAATTCATAACTGAACTTTTTTGACTAAGAGAGGTCAGGATTTTTTTTGTTCCTTCCGGTGAGTAACAACTCTTTGGAGGCCAGGAGGGAAATCTGATATCCATTTGTAACATGTCGTGCATTTAATGACTGACAGGGTTAAACAGATTCAGAGTGAGTTGGGTACTCAAATATTAGCAGATTTTGAAGAAGCCTTATCTGTCAAAGGAGTGAAGGTACTTATAGCTGCACTTAGGGTCTACTAGTTATTAGTAAAATCCAACTAGTGGTGTATTATCAATGCTGCATTCTGGTTGGCTAAGCTACTACTAGGCTATATGTTATAGCCCACTAGTAGCGAAAAGCACCCGCTTTGAAAACCAAAACATGGCCGCTGAATCGCGTTTTGCTAGCTAAAGTTGTTTTGTCTCGATATTTTTGACCTACTAGTTGGATTTTGCTAAAACAAACATTCCTCTCGCCCTCATGGCCTCTGAGTCATAGCCCATTTGGCCTTCTCAGTTCTGCCTCTTGGCTTATTGACTCAGAGCCCATTTGGGCTCGAGGAATAATTGTTAAATATCCGTGGTAACAGATATGATGTATAAATCTTGTAGATAAAGAAAATATTTTTCTAGACTCTGATTCTGCTGCTCTTTTTTGTGGTTGACTCGCTGGTAACGTTAAGCATTTTTTTCTCTCAACTCTCCACTTTATTCTGTCTCTAAAATAAAACCTCTCGCCTCTGCTGCTCGCATATTATCTGCTTTCAGGTGGTTCCCTGTTTCAGAGTCTTAATTAATATCATCTTTTTTATACCCTTTCACTGTTGCCAGAGAAAAATGAAAATTTATTTATTCATTTTCAGGGAGGGAGACTCCAGTTTAACGACTGAACATTAATGCAGGACATCTAAGAGACTGTTAAACATGATTCCGGAATAACCTTCTCTCAGGAATGAGTTTCGTTCCAGAATGAATTTCGTGTTGTATTCACAAGACAAAATTCACTGGCGCAGCCTAAGTTGTTCTGGCTCGCGTAGATTTCTTAGTTTTCGGGCCAAATTAGATGCGCACGCGCCACTCGCCTCGGACTACACGGTTTAACGCGGTTTGCGATTTTCAATTCAGAACGAAGTTCGTTTTCAGTTTTCGTACCAGAACGAAAATTTTACTCGAATTGAAAACCGGAATGACTTGTACGGGAACGAAGAGTCGTTTCTGTATCATGTAAACAAATACAGAGAGATATATCGAGATGGAATGAACTCGTCCTGGTTGAAAGTCATTCGGGTGTGATATAAATGATCCCTTAGGCATAAAAGTGGTGTAATAGTCTTTTTAATTCTTTAGCCTCCAGCTGGGCCTAATTCACAATTAGCTGAAGCATGCCAAGTAGTCAATGTCTTGGACCCTAAAGTGAAGTAAGTTAAAGGGGTTACGTCACGGCCAGTCTCCTTCGTAGCCGTTTTTTGGCTCGTGAGGAGCGTTGCGTGACAAGCCTAAAAACGGTTGCGAAGGAGACGTCACGGCTGGCTAGCTGATTTTGTGGGCAGCAAGTTGTCTATAACTTGGCGTGAGTTTATTTAGCCGACCGTGAGGCACGATATTTTTGCGGGAGTTTACTTTTGCGGATTGGTGATTGTTTGTGTTTTGCGGGAATTAATTTTTGCGATTAGGACAGATTGGTTTTTCTTGCTGGGAATTAATTTTTGTGATTTTCAGAAAGTACCCAGTACCCAGCATTGATAATATTTTCTCTTTTATATCATTCCATTCTACCCATGCTGCACTTCAACTGAAACCGCCCCAGTCCGCATTGCTCCCGTGCCGCAGAAACATTTTATTTCCGGCTAATTCGTATCCACTCAAACGCCGGAAATTGCATATCTCTTGATCTAACCAGCCATTATTTTCACTTCGAAATGTTTTTGGACCTCTTCAAATGACATTTTTGAATGGAAAATGCCAAAATTTTTCATTTGCAAAGTCTCTTTAATATTCTATTGAGTCTTAAAATTATTTTTTTTCTCTCTGGTTCAGAAATGAGTTGCTCACTTGGTTTGTCAAACTTCAGCTGGCAGAATATCAACAGTTGTTCAATGAAACATTTGAAGTAAGTTTGAATGCCGGGGCGGAACTGTGTTTTATCAAACAACCAAGGTTCAAGACAATTGATTGGTCCTTGCAGTAAACTGAAGTCAGAGAAAATCATTTAACTTGTTCTTTTCAATGGGAAGTGGTTTAACGGGTTCATCTGAAGATATCATTGTGATTATCACCAATTCTAACTTTTTTATTTCTTGCACAACGATTTAGTGAATCTCTTTGCCTTTTACGATTGCCTTTTTGGGGTCAGGGGTTTGCAATTGTTTAGATCTTACAACGGAGCAGCCATATGTATATTTCATGACTGTTTAAAATGGCGAGGAATGGAAAAGTTTCGCACTTTCACTCTCAAAACGAGGCGAGCCTCGCTTTGAAACAGACGCTTGGGGCAACTTTGATACTGAAGCGGTGTTTCCATGCTTTAGGAAAAATTCTTGAATTGAGACCATGCCTTGGGGTAATTTATTTTAAGAGTAAAAGGTCTAGTTTTTACCATGTTCTACAGCAAACACTGTTTCACTTCTTCTAAAATGTTTTCCTCTTTCGTTGCTTAGGTTGCGTGGCTTGACAAAATTGACCGTCGGTATTCCTGGTTAAAGAGAGCTTTGGTCAAATTTGATGAAGATTTTCAAGGGACCTTTCCAGCGGAGTGGCATGTGGAGGAGAGAATCAGTGAAGAATTTTGTAAAGTTACCAAGTATGACGCCGAACTTTGCCTTTCCATGTTTGTCTTTTGTTTTCGTTTTCGTTTTCGTAAAGACAAGGGTACTTAGCATTTACATGGGAAAACAAGAAATTGAGGATGGAAAATCAAATGGTTCGCGCCCAGCCTAGTCCCAGGCGTTCTCGGCTCGGTCAATCCTGAACTCTACCGTGAGTTGTGACGTCACCGAGAGATACTCGCCGGGAACGCTCTCGCCCGCTCTTTCCCAGACTTCTCGTGGACAACGGGGCAAAAGAAAACGCCTAGGAACTAGGCTGGTTCGCGCCATTCTGTTTGGGAAGCTTCAGGAAATATGGGCTATGATTCAAGGCGATGCAATTTTCTACTCTTTTTAGTCTGTTCCGCTGATTTGGATATACTTTGTAGCGGGTCCATCATGTCCAATTTTATAGTTTTATTTTTATGCACAAGATTTTCACCCGGGTAGGTGTGTAAATGGTAAGCACCCCATGTTCACACTGTATACAGCTATTTCGAGAAAGGTTGTCGGAAAACATGTGCACGCGACAATCCCGAAAGGTAATATGGGATATGATCAATACACTGTTCCTGACACTGTAGCTGTCGAACCTACTTTTGTTGCTTTCCTTTAGCACTCGCAGACATATGTCGACGGCCTCTCCTGCCATTCTTTCAAATTTCTTTGAAAAACAGTCAGCTCAAAACCACCCACAATACCTTTCGGGTTTGTCGCGTGCACTTTTTCCGACAACCTTTCTCGAAATAGCTGTATCGTATATATTTTTGTGGCGGCACACATATCGATCCGGCATCGTGTGAACAGACACGCTTTGAAAAGGCATGACGAAAGCCGTGCCGGTGGTTCACATTTCTGCGGTATGGGGTTCGTTCTGGGGCCAAAACCGCGATGATTATGAGTATCATCCGTGCTACTGATGTTTTTCGCTAGAAACATGTCTTAATGCGCGTATATCGGGATTTTCAATTTTGGAACAATCCGATTACATAACATCTTTCTTGAAGTCGAATCGGTGAAAGTGTACCACTTTCAAGAGAGAGAGCGTTCCGTCGAAGCGGTGCCTTGGCACAAAAATCGTGCCAAAGGTAACTTTTCATGTTTGAACAAAAACCCTGTCCAATTATTTATTCGGTATGGTTTTTGAGACGGAGGGAAAACAATCCGGTATATTGTGCACTGGTATCAGTTGTAGAAGGGAACTAATATCTCCAGTTTCTTTTTTTATTATTATTTGGTAGAAAAGATTTATCGAAAATCATGTCAGCCAGATCTCAGGAAATAGACGTGAAGTTGTTGCTATTTGCCATTCAGAGAACGACAACTTTTGAGAATTTGCTGACGCAGAGGTTTGTTCATCACAGCCAGCAGGTAAGACAAATGAAGAATAAAAATAAAACACAATAAAAGAAATGGGCATTTTTATCATTTTTACAGAATGTTTTTTTAATGAAAAAAAAGAAAATCGACCGTGAAGAACAAACAATGGGAATCACAACCTTAAAGAAGGTTTTATCTTAATTTAATACCTTGAAGTTTTTGCAAGCTGCCTAAGCTTTGAATTTGCTAGTTTGAGGCTGGGTCGGTGTTGCGTCGAATTGCAATGATCATTGGGAACAATTTTTGACCCTAAACTCTCAAGAGCCAACCGCGTTCCCAAAACAGTCCTATATAGTGCAATTTCATAGGGCAGTGACCCAGTCTACTGCGCAATCTCAAATAAATGAGTAACATCAAATGCTCTACACCGTGTTTCATCCGTTACGCAAACACCTCGAGGTCAGGTGAAACACGCCTAATCACGTAAACACAAAAATGGAGTACCATTGCGTATTTAGAGGCACACAACACAACAGTCGCTCAACAAAAACGAAATGTCTGTATTTAAAACTGATTAAGCACACATTGGAGGCTCTCCCAATGGACACCCTCGTAAGCGTACAGCTGTATTTAAGGCCGCCTTCACAAAACCTCGTTTTTCTTACCTCCCATACAGACTCTGTATTTTTACATTCCCGTAAGCGGCCGTCTCCAGTTACGGGCACCTTTTTCCCGTCTCGAGGGTATTCGCTTACGAGAGCTTCCGCTCTTCTTGTGATTTATTATTTAGAATGAAGAGGATACGAAAGATAAGGCTGGCAAGGTTTGTTTTGTGAAACATACTTTAGTCTACTTGTGAACACTTTTTTCTTTCTTTCTACTAGTGGACCCAAGTGTATCTTGAAACCTGTCAGTGCTGGATCTTTGATTGTGTGTTTGTGTTTTTGTAGCCTAAACAGTCCAAGTTCCTAGGAATCATATCAAGATGTTTTGAGCCACATCTTCATATTTACATTGAATCGCAAGACAAGTAAGAAAGAAATATATATCCATCTACTAATCATCTACTCCGCGCAAAAATTTTCTTGAGTGCAAAATAGCTGGCGAAACGTGTCCTTTAGTTCTGGGTAGTTGGGCACGTGATCTTTCGTTTTCTATGTTGAAAAATTCTCAACTTGAATCTGACGTTTGCCGTTTGCCGTAAACGGCACTCTCATCCTCTCTAATGTCGAAATATTTTACACGCAAGAAGATGGTTTCTCTGAGTTATGCAAAGTAGAGTATGTAGTTCACCTTGCAGTATTAAAGAATCTCGAAGATATTATTTCTGATTATCCCATGAGAAACAAAGGTTTTTTTTTCGGAACCCGGTCGTTGCCGCCGGGATTCGAACCCCGGCGACATTGGTGAGAGGCGATGGCCACCCTTGCTCCCCAAACATATACATAACAATGACCAACAGCTTAGGTGGTTAGATTCTTTCTCAGGAGATTTAACATAGCCATGTCGTCAGTATGACTCCTAGGTGCAACAATTCTTCAGTTTGGCTCAGTCATAATAACATGCTGAGAAAGCCGACGCTTCGACTATGCAACCTTTGGGTCCCAGCTCTAAAGATCCTTGACGGCCTTCTTTTGTTCACAAGGCTCACAAGGCAGCTTTTGCCGAAACGAAATCTTACGGTGAACAACCCTATTCCAGGCGTTTAGATAGTGGATGCGGCCAGGAGAAGGCTAACGTTGGACCAACTCCTGATCAAACTGGTACCCAAGTCTACATTACTAACCTATGCTAATTTTTGCATAACAGAAACCTCTCTGAGTTGATGGACAGATTTGTCCAAGATTTCAAGTCCTTTGTAATTCCTATGGTAGAAGGAGATGGTAGCAATGTAGTATTTCCTAGCGCTGGTGAACTCTTCGTGTTTTATAAGAAATGCATGGTGCAGTGCTCACAACTCTCCACTGGGCCCCCTCTGCTGTCTCTAACCGCTACATTTCAGAAGTTTCTTAAGGAGTATGCCACTAGAGTGCTCAATAATCACCTACCTGTCAAGTGAGTAGAAATTCCAGTTTATAAAATCATTTATAATAATTTATAAAAGAAAAAAACACGAAGGATATGGCTTGATTGACTTGGATTTTAAAGTTTAAAGTTTTAAAGACATTCATAACTATAACACGCGGATTAAAAATAACATTTGTAGGCCGCAGTCACGTCGCTCCAGGGGACAAAACCGTTTTATCTACCAAGCAGCCAGTGACTGGAACATTTTATCTTAGGAAGTTAAGAACATTTCTGACATTTTATGTATTTTGTAATTTTTATTTTTTAATTTCTTAAATAATTAATTTTTTAAAGTTGTAAAATTTCTATCTTCAAATATTTAATGGGCATTTTTGTATCTGTAATTTTATTTAATGCAGGGCGGTTACAACAGTACGAACATAAACAAGCATCTTTCGCCCGCCCAACATACGCCTGCACTGCAGGCTACTCCAAGTCGGTCTTAAGAACTCGACTACGCTTTCCTTTTCAACGCATTTCTCGGTGTTACTCGGAAATCAGATCAAAACACAGCGTCTCGTGTTTCAAAAATGACGTCGAAGATTAGTCTTCACATAATACATATATTCCCCTATTCCTTATCGTACTACTAATAGACAACGCCGGAATCAGTCCCTGTTCTTACAAGTGCAGCAAATAGCAAGGTCATTTGAAGGAGACCTTTTTTCAGTGGTGGAAAGTGGATTGTTTTATAAGGGTACAAAAAATACCTCAGTGTCTAATATGTAGACAATTTAAAACCATACAAGGTTATTGCATGCTTAGATAACTTCATCAATCGGGTCTTTTCATGTTTAGGAGTACTGGAGGTCTTGCCAGCATTTTGAAGGATTCTGGCGAAGTTAAATTCAGCAAAGAAGAACAAAGCCTGACCTGCTGTATTCTGTGTACAGCGGACTACTGTCTGGAGACCACTCAACAGGTGAGAGGTCTGGTGCCAAAATATGTCGCCCTCTTGCATTACCCTAGCCTCCCACGCGGAATCGTATTTTCTCCTTGGAGACGGAGGGAATACGACTCTCCTAAACACTTCTGCGTGGGATGCTAGCATTGCCCATAATGCACCTTGTTCACCCCGGTATTATCTTCTATTTCTCTTGAGTTGACTGTAATACCCAGGGGAAATTGGAAACAATGGTTATACAAAATTGGGAGGGGAGGGCAGGGGAGGGCAGAGAAAGTGTTTTATGGGCAGTGCGAAAGTGCCAAGTATTGAGGATATCGTTATCTGGGGTGCTTACCATTTGACAGAAAAATGCGGTTGGGATGTCGAAAGCATAATGGTAAGCGATTTACGAGTTTACCGTAGAAATGCCACATCCGTTACGGTTTGAATCCAAAAAAAGGGCGAATTTGTGTAGCGTGAGTCTGGAACTGGGAAGGAACCGAGAAATTGGTTAATGGTAAGCAACATTCCGTTTGGTTCGTACCAACGGGAATGAAAGGACTGCCTCAAAACGTACTCCTCAATTTTTGGTTGGATTTCCGAAAAGTGACCGTACCATTTACCTTCCATCCGGAATCTCCGAAATCTTCTGTCAAATGGTAAGCACCCCTGTTGTTATTTAGCTTTAAAAGTGCCTCTTTATGATTGTTTTAATACCTGTGCTTTTGTAGTTAGAGGAAAAGTTAAAAGAGAAAGTTGATCCTGAATTGGCAGAAAAAATTGACCTCAACGGAGAACAAGATGTATTTCACAGGTAAAGCAAATAGCGTTATCCTTGCATACTATCTTTCACCTCCGATTTCACCTCTTTCCCCTTACGTTTTGGTCACTTAGCTAACTCGCCGTCTTTGTAACCTATGTTTAAAAAAACTATGTTTTAAGACACGTTTCGCTACTGACCTATTCAAGTTTCTTTTTTATAGTGTTATATCAAATTGTATTCAGTTACTTGTCCAGGACTTGGAGAATGCTTGTGATGCACCGCTTACAGCGTTAATCAAGGTACGACATTTTTCACGAATCTAATGCCCCGACTTCCACCACAGGCAGCCGGAGTTCGTTGGAATTTGAATTTTAGTAGAAAATGTTTGTAAATAAACAGAATGCGTTTTAAACTCCGCTTTTTGAAAAGACTCGAAGTAAAATTGGCTCACCTAGTGTGTCTTTTACTATCTAAAACTCGCCAAAACAGAACAGACGGTAAAAAGCGGAATTGAGAAAGTTTTTTTTTCATTATTCTAACACAGTCATCCTTTTATTAAATTCAAATTCCAACGAACTCCCATAGAGTCTGGGTTACAAGTGTGTTTCCATACGTATCTACCCCCCCCCCCCCCCCCCTCTCAGGCGATGATGAAAATCAAATCCACATGTCTTACATCCGACCAAATTTTGGATTTTTGCCCCAATTAAAGGAACTGTGACGTCACGGCTGTCCAGTTCATTTTGTTAATTATGCCAATTACAGGTCGTTATTTGTAATGGAATGTGAGAAATTACTTGTGAATAACGAAATCAGAGCTTCTTGTCAAGCAAATTTGTCTCCCAAACATTATATCAAACGTTACAGGGAACAAAAATGAACTTGGAAAAACTGTTAGGCTAACAAGTTTTCAAAAAGCACAATTGCAATCTGTTTTAATCTGGCTTCAAGTTTGTCCTTCCGTTCCTCCCTTTGTATTTGCTGTCATTTATTCCTTCTTTCAGTGTTTTTAGTGGTTATTTTTATGTTTCACTCCATTTGGTGACAGTTCCCACTGTTTGAATTTTGATAAATTTCTTAACACACCTGCTTTCAAGAGTAGTAAACTGTCGGCTCGCTAATGCTCGCCAGCAGCAATTATGGAACTTCCATGTCCATTATTTTCCTTTCAGGTGAACTGGCAGAGCGTCGAAGCTGTGGGAGACGAAAGTTCCTACGTAACCGCCATTACCAATCACATTAAGGAAGCTGTTCCTCTTGTTCGAGACTACCTGTCCTCAGCCAGGAAATATTTCACTCAGTTCTGTGTCAAATTTGTG